CATGTAGTTCTCATGTCTGCTAACACATCCATTCTGCAGCCCATGGGATCAAGGAGTAATTTCAGTAATTTCTTATTTAAGAAATATATTTCATAAGACTGTAGCTCCCATATATAGTAATTCCTCTCATGGATCTGGGCAAAGTCAATTGAAAACTTTCTGGAAAGGATTCACTGTTCTAGATGCCACTAAAAACAGTTGTGGCTCATGAGAAGAGGTCAAAATATCAGCATTAACAAGTTGGAAGAAGTTGATTCCAACCTTCATGGATGACTTTAAGGGGTTCAAGACTTCAGTGGAGAAAATAACTACAGGTAGAAATAGCAAGAGAACTAGAATTAGAAGTGGAGCCTGACAGTACAACTGAATTGCCACCATCCCATGATAATACTTCAGTGGATGAGGAGTTGCTTCTTACAGATGAGCAAAGAAAGTGATTTCTTGAGATGGAATCCACCCCTGGTGAAGATGCTGTGAAGATCGTTGAAATGACAACAAAGGATTTAGAATATGACATAAACTTAGTTGATAAGGCAGCAGAAGGGTTTGAGTGGATTGATTCCAATTTTGAAAGTTCCGCTGTGGATAAAATGCGCTCAAACACCGTTGCATGCTGCAGAGAAATCGTTCATGAAAGGAAGAGTAGTCAGTTGCTGCTGCGAACTTCACTGTGTTCTTATTTTAAGAAATTGCCACCCCAGCCTTCAGCAACGACCACCCGATCAGTCAGCAGCCATCAGTGTGGAAGCAAGACCCTCCACCAACAAAAAAATTATGATTCACTAAAAGCTCAGATAATGGTTGGCACTTTTTTTAAGCAATAAAGTATTTTTAAATGAAGGTATATACATTGTTTCTTTAGACATAATGCTATTATATATTTAATAGACTATGGTATAGTGTAAACATAATTTTAATATGCACTGGGAATCCAAAAACTACATTAGACTTGCTTTGTTGCAATATTTGCTATATTGCAGTGGTCTGGAACCAAACCCACAATACCTCCAGGGTGTGCCTGTACAAAGACAACTCAGCAAAGGGAAAAGGTACGTGAAGTGAAGTCCAGGGAAGCAGGCACTGCTTCCAGCGTCCTCTCGAAGGGGAGTCATGCAGGACTCGCTTGATTCCTGCAGCACCAAATGGTGACATGTATGAAATGCTGAAAGGAAGGGAGCTTGTTAGAGCCTCAGCACCCAGGGTTTTACTGGGGCTGGTCACATAGGCACCGTCCGCCTAGCACTTACAAAAGAAAGCAGGTGGTCAGCATAAGCCCCGTAGTTCATACAAACAGTCTAGGCTGGGTGAGCTGTTCTTATCAGGGAGTGGTGGGAGCGCTCCTGAGGTCCAGGTTCCCAGATGCCGGCCAAGAGCCACGCAGACTTCCCGAAGCACAGCAGCCTCAGGCCTTTCTGCACAAGGAGTGACATGATTATGTTTGGAAAAGTGCTCTGGGCTGTTGATGCAGGACGCAGGAGTGACCAGTGAGTGGTGAGGGGCTGATGCATCCTCCAGGTGAGAGGTAGAGGCAGGGCCTGGGCGGGGTCGAGGACCAGAGAAGCAGGTGGGTTCTAGGGTCATTTAGAGGGTAGCATGGGCGATGGTGCTGTGGGGGAGGGAAGGCAGAGTGGGGGCTTCTGGGCCCCTGCCTGTGTGTGTCTTAAGACCCCTGACCTGGAAGGCAGACCCAGGGGCATGTCCGCAGCCCATCTACCGACTGGTGGTGGATGCCATGTTGCAGGGCCTCAGTTTCCCATATGCTAAGGGCGGAAGATAGCATCTCAAAACCTTGTTTCCACCTCTGCAAAACACCATTCTTGTTACTTTAAAAATATCAGCCTTTTCTGCCCTTCGGTAGAGCATCTTGGGAAAAAAAAAAAGCTGGTAGATCTGAGTTCAAACACTGGCTTTACCACTTGTGAGTCTTTGTTCTTAGCTATTTGATCAGCTCTGTTGCTTTGGTTTTCCTATTCAGGGATTCCAATAATGTACATATTGGTTCATTCTTCCTCCTCTCCTTCCCCCAAATACTTCGTTCTCATGACTCAGTTCTCTGCAGGCTAGATCTCCCTCCAAAAATAGCTATGTCTTATGGATAACCTAATAGAATACAAGTTGAGTTTCTCTTAACCATCCAACCAAATCCCACTCCCTTTCTAGAGGTAACCATTTAGTTTGGGTTGTTGATTTTTGCCTGTTCCTAACCAAGAGGGAATGATATGGTGCATTCTGGTCTGTGACATGCTGGTTTCCCCTCAGATCTAACCGCCGTGCCGCGTCCTCCAGCATGAGCCTGCCACGCAGTGGTGAGCACTGGGCTCTGAGGCCATCTGCAGGTTTGCCTGCGGTAGCAGGCCTGCAGCGAACATCCATGTACTCAGATGATAAGGACATTTTACATCTTGACAGAACCGGTTTAAGACTGATTCTCTCCTTTCTCCTATGCCTGGCACATAAAGATACTTACACATTTTTTTCAAAAAATGAAATAAACTGTTCTATTGCCCTCCTAAAAAGGGCATACCCCCTTTCATGCCCACCAGGGGGTACATAGGTGTGCCCCCTTCCCTATGCCTGTCTACCTGCCGCACCATGGGACTTTGGGCATTTTGTCTCCCCTCCTTGCCCTCAGTTTCCCCTCCTGCAGAATGGAGGGTCTGCCCCCCTGCCCTGCCTACCTCTCAGGATGGTTATGAGCATCACAGAGAGCAAAAGGGGGATGCAAATGGCCTGTAAGCTGTGAGCAGAAAACAGCAGCTACTGCCAGGATTTGGTTCAGGAACAGGCTTCCTCCGAGTGGTTCTGTGACCTCTGAAGGAGCCTGATCCCTTCTCGGGGCCCAGGATGGATGTGTGGTCCTGGTTATGGGCACATGCCATCTGTACAGCTTCCTGAGGCCGCCATAACCAAAGACCACAGACTGAGGGGCTTAAAACAACAGAAGCTTCCTCTCGCAGTTGTGGAGGCCAGGGCCCAAAATGGAGGTGTTGGCAGGGCCCGTTCCATCCCTGTCTTCCAGCTTCTGGGGGCTGCTGGCTTCCTTTGTGTTCCCTTGCTTATAGATTCATCCCTCCAATCTCTGCCTCCATCTTCACGTGTCTTCCCCTCTGTGTGTCCTCTCCTCTTCTTATGAGGACACCAGTCATTGAATTTAGGGTCCACCCTAAGTCCAGGGTGATTTCATCTCAAAATCTTTAATTTTATCTGCAAAGACCAGTATTCCAAATAAGGTCACATTCTGAGGTTCCAAGTGGACGTGACTTTGGGGGCAGCCACAATGACACCCACTATACCCCCCCACCAGGCAGGTCTCCCATCACTGGCTGCCTGGCTTTTTCTCAAAACATGGGCTCCAGGTCATACCACCCAGGGGCAGATCCTGGCTCTGCCATTTTTGAAGTGTGTGACTTTGGACAAGTCACCTCCCTCACCAAGACCCCAAATGACGGCCTCAACCTGAGAGAGTAGTTAGGAATTAAAATGAAATCATGTGTTTAAAGAATTTAGTGGTGTGCTAACATAACAAATGATAAAACAATCAGTAATAATATATGTCACTGCTATTGGGTCTTACTGGAGTTTGGGGCAGGGGTGTGAACTAATAAGCAAATCAGGTCCCCAAAAGTAGGCTCTGGGAGGGAACAGGGAAATGGAGACCTAAGGGTCATTGGGAGTCGGCTGAGTTTCTTAAAAAGTACCTTTATCTGTGACTGTTGGATGACCATGAAGTAGGGACTTTCCTCTGTACAGACGGCAGCTTCAAAGCCTATAAAAATAGACATTCATAAGAACATTTCTTCTCCATCTCTTTCTTTTCATTTCTCCCCACTCTCCCAGGTAGTAATTCTTGTGGTATGACACCTGTCATGTGTAAAAGAGAAGTAGGCGAGATGCTTGCCTTTGAGGGGTAGCTCCTGTGGTTTTGCTGTTGATCGCTTATTAAATATTTATTGAGCCCCTCCCTACAGTTGAGGCAGGAAGAGTCTGTGCCCTCCAGAGCTCACAGAGCAGTGCAGGAGGCGGATGATGCCAAGATGTCGCAGCGCTCATTAGTAAGTGGCCTGATGGGGAAATAGAGGAAGAACCCTTACCCAGTGGGTGGCGGTTAAGGAAGGCCTCCTTGGGGTAAAATCTAGACATTTGTAAGACCTGAAAGAGAAGTAGAGTGAAATAAGCAAAGGCTATTCTAGACAGTGGGGACAGGCCATGAGACATCCTGGAAGCAAGATGGCATGAGGTTCATTCTAGAACCACAAGGCTTTTGGTGTATCCAGAGTGTGGCAGCACTGGGGGCCTGGGAGGAGACTAGTGTCTGGGGAGACCAAGAGAGATTTGCCTGTGTCTGGAAGGCAGTGGTCAGCAGGCACGGGGAGGGCAGGAGCAGGGACACAGCCAGGCCAGCACTGGAGAAAGGTGCCCCTGGCCACTGCTGTGGGGAGGAAGGACTGGGGCAGGAGGAGGCTGGCACAGAGGTGCTTGTGGTAGGAGAGGGTTAGGCAGAGAGGAGAAGATGACTGGTGCCAGATTGACAGGGCTTGAGGGAGGGAGGAGCCCCCAAGAGTGACCTTTGGCTCTTGGCTTGGGCAGGGTGGATGCAATGATAAACCCAGGGGAACATGGAAGGAACAGTAGCTTTGGGGGAAAAGATAATAGTTCGGTTTGGGTCACAGTAAATTAACAACCTAGCCAGATATCAGACAGAGGAGCCGCACTGAGAACACAGGTACAGAGAGAGCACCAAACGGGAGAGCACCGGGACAAGGTCAGGGCTGGGGTCTCGAGGAATCCAGTGTCATGGGGCAGGGTTACCGTACGGGAGGCTTTGAGAAGGGTAGCCTCAGGAGAAAAATCAAAAGATTGTCAGACAGACCAAGTCACCAGTGTGAGAGGATGCACTCGGTCAGGTGGGCACCAGAGTCACGAGCTTTGACACGAGACACGAGAAAGGTGGCCCTGGGGAGAGCGGGGTTGGAGGGTAGTGGGATAACAAAGGCTAATGCAGGGAAGACGAGGATGGGGGTGTCCCGTGCCGGGACTCTGCTGGTCTAGAGTCTCAGGGTTGCCAGGGACAGAAACAACTCAGCTTGAGCTGCAGAGGGAATCTGTCTGGTTCACATGGCTGAAAAGTCTGCAGGTTGTAGAGGCCAATTAGTAGTGAAGTGAAATGTCCACTGACAGTGAAGAAGTCAGAGGAGTAGGGGTAAGAGTTTTTGTTGTTGAAAAAGACCAATAATAGCCAGCGCTTAGGAAGGGGAGGCTCCAGGCCCTAAGGTTAGTGCTTTGTGTGACTCACTGAGTCAGTCCTTCCATCTGCCCAAGCTGGGTGGCCGGAGCCTGCGAGCTGAGAGGTCAGAGTGGGTGGTGATGGTGCCGAGGCCCATGACATTTTTGCCATCAGCCATGTCTTTGCCCTTTTCTGGAAACTTTCTGCTTCTGGCATGATGTTTTTGACTTAAAACCAGAGTTGTTTTCTGCTCTGCTGGAAACCATAAATATTTTCATCCCAAATTACTGAAAGTTGCTTCTTTACTGGTTGCAAGTTTTCAGAAAGAAAAAATATCTCTCCTGTAAAATGTAGGTGTGGCTTTTGCAAAGCACTCAGGCTCCCACCATGCTGAGAAATAGCACAGGAGGTTTCCATTCTGGCAGGTGACGTGTTTTAGGGGAAGTTTTGGTCAGTAGCGGCCCAGAGGGCTTCAGGACAGCCCTGGGAACGTAGCGATGAAAGGTCCAGCCTGAGATAAGCCGTGCCTGGCGTAGGACACAGGGTACCAGGGTCCTCAGCCACTTGATGGGCTTCTGCTCTAGGTCAGATGCCACATGAGACTCTGGGAACATAGAGCTGCCTTCATGGATCTTAAATGCTAGTGCAGAAAAAGAATAAACAACTGCACGCAAACACAATTATAGTTAGAAACTGTGATAAGGGCACTTGAAGAAAAAGTGAGCAATATAAAGAGAGGTTATAACATTGAGAAGGAGTTTGATTTAGATTTTAGGGGTCAAGAAGGGCCTCTTTGAGGAGGGGACAATTCAGCTGAGAATTGAAGCATGAGTCAAAATGAGCCATGTTCAGTGTGGGGAGAAGAGCATTCCAGACTGAGGAAAGAGCCCACACGAAGGCCTGGGGAGGGGAGCGTGTGGATCCCTGGGTGCGGCAGCCAGCGAGGCTGAGTGTGATGAGCAGGTCATGGGGAGGAAGATGAGGCCAAGCCCCATAGGGCCATGTGCGTACTGCATGTGAAGGATCTTGGATTCTTATCCAAAGAGCGGAAGTAGAGAGCAGTGATGTGATCAGGTGCTGTGGTCAGAGGTAAGGGTTTATAAAACCTGCTCAGACTGTTGAGTGGAGAAGGCACTGGAAGAACCAGGTCTGTAAGGAGGCCACTGCAGTCTTCTGGGAGAGAGGATGAAGACTTGGACTAGGCTGGTGGTGCAAGAGGAAATGAATAGTGGAGGTGGGGAGAAGAGAGCCAGACAAGCCCAAGTGTCATCGATGGGGAGAAGACTCCTAGGAAGTTATTACACAGTGGTCATAGCTGTCCCTGGGCCTCTTAACATTCTGAGGAAGTCTCAAATAAGGGGCTCCCCAGGTGCCCAAATAATATGGGAAACTGGGCAGGGGAGGCATCCAGGAGTCCAAACCACTGGATTCCTGGATGTAGCATTTTGGGGGCAACACCCACCTCCACTCACATCACTCACAACCTTGCCCTGCCCTCTTTGGGAACTTCCCCAGGGCACTTAATACAAAGCAAGGGTTCTGGGAGGCTTATGAAAGAGGTATGGTATCCTTTGACCAAATTTGGAGCTTGGAAACATACCAGGTACCACAGAACAGGTGCAAGGATAATGGACTGGGGGCAACACAGCTGGAGTCCTATTCCCAAGTGCACTGCTGCTGGCCACCTGAATGGGGAGATCAGACCAGGTAATCTCTTTGGGCTCTAACCTTTCCTAAGCTTATGAAACCTATTATGAAAAAAATCTGAGCATGCATCGAAGGTGTTTTACTTTACTTTGGGAAATGTCAAAATATGAAAAGAATAAAATATTATCAAATACTTACATAATTGTCATCCTGAATTGACAACTATTAACATTTTGCCTTATTTTCCTCAGATCTTTTTGTAACTTAAAAAGGTGTTTTTCAGATAGCTTTCAAGTTGTTTTTTGATTCCCTCCATTTTCAGCCCTTCCCCTCCTTGAGTCAACCACTATTATGAATTTAGCATCTCCTTTCAGTTCATTCCTTTTTGTGTTTGTCCTTGGTGTTCATTGAGCAGTTCATATGTTTCTATGTTCTTATCAATTTGGAATTTTTTTCAGCCATTATCTATCCAAGTGTTTTCCTGCCCTAGTCTATCTTTCATCTCCAGGTTCATATATGTGAGACCACTTCATATTGTCCCTGGGTCTCTGTTCTTTGTCCTTGCAGCACGTCTACCTGTTACTTTCTATTAGTCCATCTTTAAGTTCACTGATCTTTTCCTCTGCAGTATCTAATCAGCTGTTGAGCCCAAGTGATTAAAATTGAACAGTATTTAGTAATATTTTGTATGTATTTTAAATTTTTTACTTAAGTAGTATTACATTGTTCTTCTATATCTTCCTTTTAAACTCAACATATTTTTAGATATCCACGTTGCTATATCCATTCAGTCCCTTAAATATTTGAGTGTTTTGAGTGGTAAGTGGAAGATACTGAGTATACAGTTGCACAATATGGGAAGAGTCCCACCTTCGTGGGACTCAGAGTCTATAAACAGATTTTTAAAAGGATATAATATCATGTCAGACACCAATAAGTGAAATAAAGAAAAATGAGCAGAATAAGGTGATGCAGTGTGACTGGGGGAGGGTGACCAGACAAGATGTCAGAAGAAGTGATATTTGAGCAGAATCCTGACTTATGTGAAGGTGTGAGACATGCAGATATCTGGGCGAAGAGAATCCCAGAAAGAGTGACTTAAGTGTGCTGACAAACCATTTGAGAGCTTTAAGGAAGGACATGACATGGTCTTATGTAAGTTTTAGAAAGTTCTTTCTAGTTGTTGAATGGAGAATGGATTTGGGGAGGAAGTGAGGGGGTGCCACAGTAATCTGGGCAGGGGATGGCAAGCAATGGTTGGCTTGGGCCAGGAGATAGCAATGGAGAGGGCAGAACTGTTCTTACTTGGAATGTAGTTTAAAGGTAGAGCCAATGAAATTGACTGTTAGGCAAACATTGAGTGAGAGGGAAAGCTGGGTCAAGAATGATGCCGAGGTTATTGGCCTAAGGAAATAGACAAATGAGTGTCATAAACTGAAATGGGGAAGGTTTGGGTGGCAAACAAATGATTCTGCTTTGATATGCTGGATATAAGAAAATATTGGATATCTGAGAGTGATGTCCTTAGTTGACAAATGGTTATCATGTCTGGAATTCCAGTAAGAGATTGGGACTGGAGATAGTATTTACATATCATCAATATAGAGATGGGTTTTAAAACCATGCTGCTGAATGAGATCCCCTAGGAACTTAGTATGGAGAAGAGAGGTGGTCATAGGCCTGAGCCCTGGGAATGCCAATACTTAAATGTAAGGTTTTCTTCTTAAGGGATCCAGCAAGAGACTGGCAAGAGTAACCACTGAGGTAGGAGGAAAACCAGGAGAGTGTGGAATCCCAGAAACCAGTGAAGGAAATGTTTGAAGGAAGGAGTGATCTACTGTGTTCAGTGCTGCCAAGCAGGTACATGTGGACGTCATTAGTAATATATACAGAAAAATAGTTCATTCATTTAAACTGCTATATGGCATTCCATCACATGAATGGAGAAGATTCATTCCTCTATCTCCCACCATTTAGGTGAACATTTTCAGTGAACATTCTTGAACATGTCGCTGATTTGAGCACATGTGGGTTTCTCTTTGAAGAAACACAAGTTTCTCTTTGGAGCTTTTCTAGGGATAGAATCACAAGATCATTAAGAATATAATCAACTTTACTCCCAATCTGGGATGTGTATTAACTTTGTAAGGTTATGTGTAGTATGTGTATGTGAATGATATAAAAAGTTTTAGTTTTGACTAGTCAAATGTATCCATTTATTTTGTTTTGTGTCTCATTTAAGCAATCTTCCCCTGTCCTAAGGTCATAAAGATACTTGCCTGTATTTTGTTCTAAGGCTTTTAAAGCTGTTTGGGTTTTTGTTTTGATTTTTTTACATTTATATGTGTTACTGTTCATGCATCTGAAATTCTGTATTGTGTGAGATAGAGAACTTTTTTATTTGGTACTGGGAAGGCCAGCTGTCCTAACCTCTCCAGTTTTTATCACATCCAGGTTCCTACAGGGCTGTGGGTCTGTTTGGGACTCTCTTTTACCCATCTATGGCTCCTATTGCCTATTCTTGTACTCATACCTGAAAATTTTCATTATTGAACTTCATAAAAATTTGATATCTGGTAGGGTACGTTGGGCAAAGGGAGGAGAATTATTCACTTTTTGCTTTAAAGTCATGTCTTTAAACAACTGTCCTTAGTATATTTTAAACAGCAGTGGTTGAACTTAGGAAAAAATCTATTTGCCTTCCCCTCTCAAGGACTGCTCTCTGGTGTGACGAGCGGACCTTCACTTTTCTGTGAAACTCTAGGTACTCTTACTTTTGGCTTTCCTGCCCCTGCCCCGGCAACTCCCACCTCCTCGGGTCGTGCTGCCCTGAACTGGGGGGATGCTCTTCTGGTATTTACACATGGGCCTGTAGTGGGTATTTTGTGACTGGGCTGCAGTACCAATTCCGTTGGTTACTGCCAAGCAGACCACACTGACAGGCCTGATGGGGCCTGGGGTTTCCTGTTGCCTCACCAGCACTGAGACCCTGGATTCCAAAAATAAAAGCACAAGAAACCACCGTGACCTCACGGTCTCCGCTCGCACGGTACTCTGAGCGCCGGGTCGGTCTTCGCCCTGGGGCCTGGCCCAGCTGGGGCCTCACTCACCACCGGAGTGACGTGGGGCCCGAGTGGACTAGACGGGCCGGAGGGCTGCCCTTCCCAACCACCGTCTGTCCCCTCCCTTCAGGCAGTCACCCGCAGGGCCAGGGTGGCTCCCGCGGAGAGGATGAGCAAGTTCCTGAGGCACTTCACTGTCGTGGGGGACGACTACCAGGCCTGGAATATCAACTACAAGAAATGGGAGAATGAGGAGGAGGACGAGGAGGAGGAGCAGCCGCCAGCCCCAGCCTCTGGCGAGGAAGGTGGAGCTGCCGACCCAGCGGCAGCCCCCGTGCCCGCCCCCAGGCCCCCCCTAGACTTCAGGACCACGCTGAGGAAGCTCTTCAGCGCCCACAGGTTTCAGGTAGGTGGGCAGAGGCCCGTGATGCCCAGGGTGGGGCAGAGCTGTCAGCGAGAGTCACGAGGCCGGGGCGGGGGCCCGTCTCTGCCACCACCTTGTTCATCCGAATGTTAACCATGCGTCAGGTGCCCCCACAGAATTGGGTACACAAGGCAGGTTCCGTGTTGTCGGGCATAAAATAAGCCCTGACCCAAAAGTCAATTCAAGGTCCATCACCTGATGGGTAAACAAAATGTGGTCTCTCCATAGGGAGCCAGAAAAAGGAATGAACACGTGTACAACGTGGATGAGCCTTGACAACATGATGCTGAGTGAAAGAAGCCAGACACCAAAGGCTGCATACTGTATGGTTCTGTTTATATGAAATGTCCAAATACATAAATCCCGAGAGAAAGCGTGGCTGCCACAAGTTCGAGGGAGGGAAGAATGGCAAGCGACTGCCTAATGGGTGCAGTGTTTCCGTTTGGGGTGATGAGAATGTCCTGGAACTATACAGGGTCTGATGGCCTCCTGACCTTGTGAATGTGCTGAAGGCCACTGAGCTTTAATGCCAACTTTAGAGTGGTAAATTTTGTGCTATGCAAAGTTTACCAGACATACACAATGTAAAGGAGAACCCTGGAGGTTAAAAAAAAAACATTCCTGCATTCATTTTGCAACCAGTCATTCAGCACACATTGTGTGCCTGCCCTGAGCTGAACGAGGCCCAGAGGGTCCTGGGCCTCAGACTCATTGTCACAGGGACGAAGTCTCTTCCTTTGTGGAATGATGCCCAAAATATGTGCCTTGCTTTGCCCACTGCTGACCTCCAGGTGTGGGCATGGGGAGAATAGGAGAGGGAGACGTGTGTCCTTCAGAGAGTAGACAGGGGACAGAACTTCCTAAGGCTCAGTATCTGTCCCCACATCTTCCCATGTTGAAGGACAAGGGCAGATTGAGTCTGGCCAGCCCTGTCTCACCCCAGAACCCTGAGATGGGCAAGTAGGTGTCTGGAGGCATGTTCTGAGTCCCAGGGAATGTGGGAGGCCCAGGAATGTAAGGGAAGCCTGAGGTTCCTTGTCAGCCCAGTTCCCAAATGCAACCATCTGGGGGATCCTGCTGCAGGCATCTTCCTAAACTGAAATTAGCCTGTTCTTTCCTACAGCCAGTGGTTGGAAGCAGAGAAGCAGCCCTTTCTTCTCCCATTAGTGACTTTGTTCCAGGGTAAAATAGAAAAAAATTTACTTTGGACTTTCTTTTGCTCTCGGGTGGCTCAGAAAAATGAAGCAAGCTAAGCTACCCAGCATGCCTTGCAGCTCAGCGCTTTCTCTGTGGCCGTGACAGGAAAGGAAACATGGTATTAAGTTGTTGGGGTTGAAATCCCAAACCCTCAATCTCGGGGGCAGAAGGAAGAAGCCAGCTTCCTCCCAGCTGTGAGGGGGTCCCTGAGCCATCTTCTCTGGGAGGTTGCCCCATTTCCTGACTGGGCCACGTGGCTCAGTACCCTGAGCTTGGACCCCCAGACACTCCTCCTGAGGAAAAAGTGATGGTCAGGAAATAAGTAGAGATGTTTAGTTATTCACTCCACAGTTGCTTCTTCAGCACCCACTGTGTGCTGGGGCACAGTGGCCAGCATGGCAGACACAGCTCTGCCCTCACTCACGGCCACCCAGATCACTGCTGGTTCCAAATGGAAAGTGCCCTCTGCAGGAAGACAAAGGGAGTTCGGGGGAAGCCTGGGGTTGGGGGAGACCTGAGCTAGAGGGACCATCGGAGGATGTGTGGCAGATGAGGTGACATCTCTCACCTGACACCTCAGGGCTAAGCAAGAAGCAACTCTGTGGATGGGGAGGGGAGGGCTTTCCAGGAATTAAGGGGCCACATGGCCCATGTGTAGTGAGTAGAGGGATCCCTTGGCAGGAGAGGAGGTGCTGGAAATCATCGGTGGGTGGGTTGGGGGTGCCCATGGAAGTTCTAAGTGTGTGGTAGGAGGGTGCGACATGAGCAGGTCTGTGGAGGGACTCAACAGGGAGGCCACCATGGAGCAGGAATACAGGTTCAGGGGTTTGCTGTCTGCTGGTAGAATCAGCTTTCCAAGATTCTGGAATCCATATCTCTGATGCGTCCTCCACCTGTTACATGGTTTGAGGCAGCCAAGGTGACATGATAAATAGTTAACTGCTGCTGTCACTTCTCACACAGGACAGTACAGCCCATGGGGAGAATCTGGGGTCAGGCCTCTATGGAAACGATGGACAGACAGGGCAGCTGAGCCAGGGAAGGGTAGTCAGGTAGGTCAAGTTGCTCACTGTGGCCGGGCCTTGTGCTAAGCACATTCACACCTCATGGAATGCTCCCATTGTTCTGGGATGGAAAATGTGACCAACCCGTTTTCCCCAGGAGGACTCTGAAGCTTAGAGTGAACCCAAAGCTCTGTGGGACTGAGACGTGTGCCCAAGGTCCAGGCTACTGGGGGCACCAGGAGCTGGCCCCCAACCTGCTGCCCGATGGCCCATGCTCTGTGCCGCTGCCGTCTCCTCTGAGGCACGGCTGTCTTTGCCATAGCAGGATTCGGAATTAATCAGCTCCCCTGGATTCTCAGCATTTTCCTTTGTGACATGATTGCCCTCAGAAATCCTACTGCCCTGGGAACTGACAAATCCAGGCTCTTGGAGGTTAGTTCACAGAGGCACAGTTGGGACCCAGGTACTATAGTTTTATGACCTTGGTTCTGTCTCCTTTAATTGAAGTGAGGTTCACATAACATAATCATTTTAAAATAATTCTGTGGCCTTTATTTGGTGCATTCACACTAGTGTGCAACCACCACCCCTATATTGTTCCAGAATATTGTCATCCACCCAGAAGGAGAGGCAGCACCCATCTAACAATACAGCTCCAGCCCCTCAGCAACTAACAGCCACTCATCTACGTCTACAGGTTTGCCTCTTCTGGACATTTCATACAAATGGAATCAAAAAGTATATACGGTCTTCTGTGTCTGGCTTCTTTCACTCAGCATGTTTTCTGGGTGGAGCCATGTTGAATCAGTACTTCCTTCTTATTGCTGAATATTCAGCCTGTTTTTTGGTATCTCTGTGCTTTGATTTTAGACCAGATAAGCTCTCAGATCCCTTTAGTTCTAAAATAAAACCAAGGATAAAGAAAAGGAAAAAAAGTACCAAAGGCTTGAATTTTTATTATGTTACTGAATTTGGATATGTGTGAAAACTTCATAGCAAAGCAATTTGCCATGCAATTTTCACAATAAACCGTGTCATCAAATACTTCACTAAAATCATTTCCTACAGGATGAAATGGTCAAAGGATTAATAGTCCATTCTTATATGAGTCTGAACTTGTTTAATTTCAACCAGAAACTGCCGACACTGCCATGGTAATGGCAGATTAACTGTCAGAGGTCAAAGTCAACCTACCTGAGAGTGTAAGAGGCAAGGCCCTGGCGGAGTAAGTGTTGGTCCAAGATTTCCAAGGGAAGAGAGGGTCAGTGTCCTTTGAGGTTCCTCCCATGGCTGTCATTTCCACCACCACGTCATCCCAAGGGTCTCCACCCTGCCGTCAACATTGTCACCACCTCCATCACCCCCACTGTCATCAGTGAGACGGTGTACTTGTTCACCCACTCCCCATCCCCTCCACCAGGTCACAAACTCCCCAATATCTCATCTTTCCCACTGCAACCCTTCTCCAGAACTCCACCTTTGCCCTCTCTGAGCACGAGTCAGGGCAGATATTTCACAGCTCCAAACAGAAGCTGTTTTGTGTGCCAAGCGAACATCACTGCAACCCACTGCCAGGTGTAGGCAGTCTCCAGACATCCTTCCACAATTCAGATCTCTGAGGCTGGATGTTTTTAGTTATTTATTGAGCATCTGTTATGGGTAAGAACAATCCCCAGAAATAGACAAAAAACTTAAAAAAATTATTTTTTGCCATCTAGAAAAAATCATTAATTAGCAGTTTGTTTTGAGAGATGCTGAGAAACAGCAAATGAGTAAGAAAAAGACAAGGAGTGCCTGAGGGTCAGTGAGTAAGCCACACCGAGAAGCTCGAGGACAGGTTCTGCTCGGAGGTGGACAGGCCAGGAAGGTGACAGGGAAGAAAGGATTCTGTCCAGAGGAGCTGGCCCCAGCAGGCTCCGGGGGAGGGGGGCACCCCAGCTCTGGGCAGCGGCCTCCCACACTTGGCATCTTCGCCCTGATGTTTCCAGCTCTTAAAAATGGAAGGAGGGTCCCTATGCAGGCCCCATGGTCTCTGACTCCTCCCCTTCGTCCACAGGTCATCATCATTTGCCTGGTCATTCTGGATGCCCTCCTCGTGCTTGCCGAGCTCATTCTGGACCTAAATATCATCCAGCTGGACAATAACTATGCCGCCAAGGTAGTGTGTCAGCAGCTCTGTAGTATGGTGCACTTCCATTATCTGTAGTGAGGATAGGCGGTGCCGGGCAGATAGCACCCACCTAGAAGTGGCAAGGCCTTAACAGAGTAGCTTGATGGGTTGGGGAGGGGTGGTTAGTCAAAGAGCAGAGACAGTGTCTTTCCAAATTATATATAGGCATTCACTACAGGCAGGAAACCTCACTGTACTTGATGGCTGGAATCTTGAGCTACCCTGCACCACCGAGCTGCAGTGGGTCATGGAACATCTGACTAGGACCATGATGCCTTTCCATCCCCTGGAGGCAGACGAGCCCCCTCTCCTGCTGGCATTTTGATGTGGTCCCTATGCTGAAGCCATCTTGGGGATATGCCCCCACCCATTCCCTGATTCAAGTTACTGCCTAAGTCTATCCCAGACATTCACCCAAGGGGCAGTGGGTGCATGAAAAGACGCAACATGTGGCCCATCCTGAGTTACATGGGAGAAGGCTCCACACCTTCTTTTTTTCCCAATTCAATGGATAAGGCAAAAATGTCTTTTCAAGTAGGAAAGGAGGAGGAAGAGATTATTAAACCTCCTTCCTACTCCTGGCCCCCTGCCCAAGGCAGCTGTTGTTTTCTTCTGAGGCCAGCCCAAGTCCTTCCATAGAGGGATGAATTATCTCTCCTTTCCCTCTATTTTTTAATAGAATCAGTAATATACCTGCTATACTGTCTGTGCCTTTTTCCTCAACTTTTTACTACACAAAATGGCAAATGCACATTTTGCCGTATTTTCTTTGTCTCTATATAATCTACAAACACACCCATGTTTTGACCATTTGAAAATGTTAGACATCATGACCCAAAGGCTTCACCATGCCTAAGGTCTTTCTCCTACAGAAGCAGAATAGCATTATCACATCTAAAGAAAATTCATCAATAATTCCGTAATAGCTAAAAACCAGTTTGCATTCAGATTTCCTCATTTTGTCCCAAGAATGATCCAGACTTGTGGCATTATGTTTGGTTAGATGTCCTCAGACTCTTACTAATCTAGAAAAGTCCTCCCTTTTTCTCTCATGACATTGCCTTTTTGAAGTCCAGCCAGTCTCTTGTAGGATGTCCTGATTCTGGATTTGTCTGTTTCCTCAGAGATCCTTTAGCTTGTCCTTTATTCCCTGTATTTCCCATACTCCAGAAGTTAGATCCAGAGGCTTGATTACCAAGAGTCCTTTACTCCTGGGCTGTTTTCTTTGTATGGTGGTACCCTAGGCTGGGGCCCCCATCAGTGACAGGAGGTTGGATTGCTTCACTAAGGTAGTAAATGCTGAGCTGCTCCAGGTGCAGTTTTCCCTTGGAAGTTATAAATAACCTCCTGGTGACACCTGAATGCCATGTGGAAATCTTCCTCCCCAGTCGATCAGCATCCATTCATGATCATTGCCTAGGTCAGTGGAGATGTGGGGGTGCAAACTCATGATTTCTAATTCTGTCTTGCCTTCTATATCTAGCAGCTGGTATTCTTTTCTAGAGAACTTTCTCTCCCCACCCCCCATGAGCATGTATCACGATGGACTCAGGATTTTTTTTGTATTCAGAGTATTACATTCATAATCATTCTTTTCAGTGTTCAAATCATCCCAAGTTTGGTCACTGTGAACCTCTTCAGAATGACTGCCATATCCTTTTGACATAACTCCACAGTTGCTGAGCATTTCCTTGCTTTCCAGCTCACTTTGAACTTCTCCTGCCCCAGAATGAAATCGTACTTTAGTGAAGACTAGCATTTATAAGTCAAGATCTAGGACCCTCTTCACATCATCTATCCTCATGATCATTTCTCTCAATACATATGGATCAACCTTGGTCTTTTTAACAATTGCACAGTGCTTCATGTGGAGGGCCCACTATGCATTCGACAAGTGCTCTAATGGATATTGCTGTTCTACAGCGTAAAAAATATTTTGTTCTGCAACCAATGCTGCGGGAAACATCCTTATAATGTGTCTTTGTGCATGTGGGTGCTTAGCTGCAGGATAAATTTCTAGCAGTGGGATTGCTGAGCCAAAGGACACAGTGGACATGTTCAGTCCTGCCACTGCCCAACTGCCTATGGAAAAGCAGAGCCGAGCCCTTGTCTGTGGTGTTCCCACCCCGGGAAAAGTGCCTGGTGCTGGCAGTTCAGGATTGGTCAAATGAATGAATTCTCTCAGGTTACCAGGCAAGTGCACTCAAGTCTAGAACAGGGAACATCCTATTAGAGGACTGGCTGGACTTCAAAAAGTCAGTGTCATGAGAGAAAAAGGGAGGACTTTTCTAGATTAATAAGAGTCTGAGGAGATCTAACCAAATACAGTATCATAAATCTGGAACCTAGTTTGAAAGAAAAGCACTATAAAAGGCATTCTTGGTATGAATGAGGAAATGTGAATGCATACTGGTTATCAGATATTATGGAATTACCGTATGATGTGCCCCAGCTGTGGCCAGCCTGGCTCACTCTCCCTGTGCCTCCTCGTCCCCTTCAGGTGTTCCACTACATGAGCATTGCCATCTTGACCTTCTTCATGGTGGAGTTTTGCTTCAAGTTATATGTCTTCCGCTTGGAGTTCTTCCACCACAAGTTTGAGATCCTAGACGCCATCGTGGTGGTGGTTTCCTTTGTCCTCGACATAGTCCTCCTGTTCCGGGAACATGAGTTTGAGGCTCTTGGCCTGCTGATTCTGCTCCGGCTGTGGCGGGTGGCCCGGATCATCAACGGTATGTCCCACGCTCCCAAGTTGGGAGGGGTAGGAGGGTGTGTGGAACCTGGGCAGAGGCACAGGGGCTGGCATGTGGCATTTCCACTCCAGTCCCCTCCTCCTGCAGACTGGAGGAAAGTGAAGTAGTCTGATTTGGCATTTCACTGCTGTCTCTGTGGCTACAAAATGTTCATCAGGAATATTAGTCTGTAATTTCTTCTTTTGTGGTGTCTTTGCCTCATTTTGGTATTAGAGTATGCTGGCTTCATAGAATGAGTTTGGAAGTATTCCCTCCTCTATTTTTTGGTAAACTTTCAGGAGAATGGGTATTGTCTTCTCTATATGTCTGATAAAATTTGGCATTGAATCCATCTGGCCTGGGGCTTTTGTTCTTGGGTAGTTTTTTGATTACCGATTCAATTTCATTGCTGATAACTGGTCTGTTTAGGTTTTCTGTTTCTTCTTGGGTCAGTCTTGGAAGATTTAATTTTTCTAGGAAGTTGTCCATTTCTTCTTGGTTATCCAGTTTGTTAGCATATAGATTTCCATAATATTCTCTAATAATTCTTTGTATTTCTGTGGGGTGTCATGATTTTTCCTTTCCCATTTCTGATTCTGTTGATGTGTATAGATCTCTTTTATCTTAATAAGTCTGGCTAGGGGTTTATCTATTTTGTTTATTTTTTCAAAGAACCAGCTCTTGGTTTCATTGATTTTTTTTTCTATTGTTTTATTCTTCTCAATTTTATTTATTTTTTCCCTGATCTTTATTATGTCCCTCCTTCTGCTGACTCTGGGCCTCATTTGTTCTTCTTTTTCCAGTTTCAATAATTGTGACTTTAGACTATTCATTTGGGATTGTTCTTCCTTCTTTAAATATGCCTGGATTGCTATATACTTACCTCTTATAACTGCCTTCGCTGCGTCCCAAAGAAGTTAAGGCTTTGTGATGTTGTTGTCATTTGTCTCCATATATTGCTTGATCTCTATTTTAATTTGGTCATTGATCCACTGATTATTTAGGAGCATATTGTTAAGCCTCCATGTGTTTGTGAGCCTTTTTGTTTTCTTTGTACAATTTATTTCTAGTTTTATACCTTTGTGATCTGAGAAGTTGGTTGGTAGAATTTCAATCATTTTGAATTTACTGAGGACCACTTTGTGGGGGAGACACCATCTCAAAGGGTGCATGTAAGCTAAGAAATGCTTTTTGTGGCCTAGTATGTGGTTTATTCTGGAAAATGTTCCATGTGCACTTGAGAAGAATGTGTATCCTGCTGCTTTTGGGTGTAGAGTTCTGTAGATGTCTATTAGGTCCATCTGTTCTAGTGTGTTGTTCAGTGCCTCTGTGTCCTTACTTATTTTCTGTTTGGTTGATCTGTCCTTTGGAGTGAGTGGTGTGTTGAAGTCTCCAAGAATGAATGCATTGCATTCTATTTCCTCCTTTAATTCTGCTAGTATTTGTTTCACATATGTTGGTGCTCCTGTGTTGGGTGCATATATATTTATAATGGTTATATCCTCTTGTTGGGCTGACCCCTTTATCATTATGTAATGTCCTTCTTTATCTCGTTACTTTCTTTGTTTTGAAGTCTATTTTGTCTGATACAAGTACTGCAACACCTGCTTTTCTCTCCCTATTGTTTGCATGAAGTATCTTTTTCCATCCCTTCACTCTTAGTCTGTGTATGACTTTGGGTTTGAGGTGAGTCTCTTGTAAGCAGCATATAGATGGGTCTTGCTTTTTTATCCATTCTATTACTCTGTCTTTTGGTTGGTGCATTCAGTCCATTTACATTTAGGATGATTATTGAAAGATATGTACTTACTGTCATTGCAGGCTTTGGATTCGTGGTTAGCAAAGGTTCAAGGGAAGCTTCTTCACTATCTTACTGTCTAACTTAACTCTCTTATTAAGCTATTATAAACACAGTCTGATGATTCTTTACTTCTCTCCCTTCTTATTCTTCCTCCTCCATCCTTTATATGTTAAGTGTTTTATTCTGTGCTCTTTTGTGTTTCCTTTGACTGCTTTTGTGGATAGTTGATTTTATTTTTTTGCTTTAGGTAGTATTTGGTTGGTCTGCTTTCTTTGCTGTGATTTTTTTTTTTCCTGGTGACATCTATTTAGCCTTAGGAGTGCTTCCATCTAGAGCAGTCCCTTTAAAACATCCTGTAGAGGTGGTTTGTGGGAGGCAAATTCCCTCAACTTTTGCTTGTCTGGAAATTGTTTAATCCCTCCTTCAAATTTAAATGATAATCGTGCTGGATACAGTATTCTTGGTTCGGCCCTTCTGTTTCATTGCATTAAATATATCAAGCCATTCTCTTTTGTAGGCTCAAGTTTTTAATTTGGTGTTTCCTGAAGAGTGTTCTGTCAAACCCTATCCCACTTTGCGGGGAGAGACACCATCTCAAAGGGTGCATGTAAGCTGAGAAATGCTATGCACTGGATTCCACCCTTTGAGAGTCACAACATGCCTCAGTATGAGGAAGACTCTGAAAACTAGTCTTCCAAATTGACTGATTTTATACTTTGAGGGGAAATAACATCTATTAATATGCTGTAGACTATGGCTCTGGAGAACACATTTGGGGAAAAGTAATACTTTACCATATTTCAGGTAAAAATCCTGTTCCTCACGTACACCCTGTTGGTGCAGGGAACCTCCCACCATGTTCCTGGTGCGATTTTATGTGGACAGAGTGGTCACCAGCTGGTTCTTGGTTCAGCTGGCAGTGAACCCACAGAGTTGCTCAAATGCTTGTCTGTGGACTGGCCACATCAGAATCACTTTCAATGCTCTTTTTTTTAAATGGAGGGTCTGAGGCAGAAGTCTGGAGTGGTACCCAGGCAGGGTGTCTGCCTTGAAACACTACCAGGTGATCTGGTGTCTAGCAGGTTTGGGAATCCCTAGACTGGGGTCCGATATGATAGGCTGTGGCTCGTTGTCTGGAGAATGAGCAAGCAACAGCGCTGCCCCCGAGGCAGGCCCATCTTCTGATGTGGAGCTCGGACCCTGGTGGCACAGTGAGCCCTAGCACGGCCTCCCGGGCTTGGCAGCCACTGCATGACCAGCAGGTAAAGGGCCTCGTTTGCTCCAATATGGGGCTGGGTGAAAAGCTCTGCCTGGGGCAGTGGGGGCTCTCACTGGCTTTAGGGGCCAGTTCAGATCTAGTGATTCAAATAAAGCCCATTGAGAACATTTATTTGAGCTCAGCCAAAGGAAAGAAAGCTTTTTAGTTACCAGTGAACATGCTTATGCTAACTGATCATTCATGAAACAGAAAAATACTCTGTACAAAGGTTATGCACAATTGAGGTAGATAAACCATTATTAATCATAAATGACTCATGAACCACAGCTACTACCCATCACTCTCATGTCACCATTGTGAGGTTTGCTTTTCCAGGTGAAACCAGAAGATAACTGCTAACTTATTTCTTTTCTTTGAATGGTAGCAGGGCGTGGAAAGACTTGCTAATAGCACAGTATTACTTTGCTATCAAATTTAGAAGAATGTTGCTGAAACAAGGCTGGACAACCAAGAAAGCTGGGGACCAGGAACCATTGCTCCCAGGCCTCATGGGCACCTGTGGAAACAGGTCCAGATGTGGTCACTCTCACTTGAAAAGGGGTAGGGCACCCCCAGTGCAGTAAGACAGTCCCCACTGCGGTGGGCATTTGGGAGCCATCAGAGGAGACTGCTGACCCCTCTGTCAGCCAAGATTTAGGTTATCACCTGACAGCTAAACTGGCCACATGCGTGGGAGGTGAAAATTTGGGAAAGTGACAATCCCAACCTCATGCTTGAACATTTCCAGCCTGGCACTTTCCTGGCCTTTGTGTACAATGTCGCTAAGCAGCAGGCCTGTGGTGACTGACTTCTGTACGAAGGAGCTTAATGACCATCTGATCAGTGATTATTTGAAAGGATTTCTCATCCCCTGCAAGCTGGAGAGAAATATTTTGCAACTGGATACTGAGTAGCTCAGAAATGAAAATCTGACCCTGTTAGTTCTCATGCCTTTAAGGCAGCGGCTGTTTGACTTGTCTTTTTCAGCACTCTTCCCAACCGCGCATTTATAAGGAATAAAGATTTTTCCCCAGGTGATTAAATTTGAAAGCAGGATCATTGAACCTCTTGATTATTTTTCAGGGATAATTATCTCAGTTAAGACTCGTTCGGAACGGCAACTGTTAAGGTTAAAACAGATGAACATACAACTGGCCGCCAAGATCCAACACCTTGAATTCAGCTGCTCTGAGAAGGTAAGAAGACGCTCCAGGGAAAGTGCCATGTTTGCAGTTCCGTCCCTTCATCCGGAGCTTCTCCACACCCCACGCTGGGCCTCTGCTCAGCCAGGCTCCCGAAGCCCTTTCCTTTGACTAAGTCTTCCTGTCCTTGCAGATTCAGCTTAGTCATCGCCTCCTTCCCTAGAGCTATGCCACCTGTCCCTCTGCTGATAATCTGTCGTCATTGCTACCACCACTGGACCCCTTGTGACTAGTTGCTCCTTCAGCAGACTGATGCCAGGAGGAATGTAGCTTGTTTTCAGCTTTCTTTTGTCCCTGTGCCTCACAGAATGATTGTCAACGTTGCTGGTGAGGCTCAGAAGGTAAATCCAGTTATTTGTCTGCTTTTGTAATAACAGGAACAAGAAATTGAAAGACTTAACAAGCTGTTGAGACAGCATGGACTTCTCGGTGAAGTGAACTAAATGCCTACCTGCCCCACCAAAAGAGAGGACGCTGCCTTGGGGGCTTGTGCCTGTGAGGAGAAAGACAACTGCCTTTCCTAGGCTTGGTTTGGGGCTCTTGCCTCGCTCCTCCCCAAGCTTGGATTCTAGCCGGTGGGGGACACGGTCTTTTGGAAGGCTTTGTTTCTTCTTTGATATGACCAAGAGCTTCCCATGTGCCATTCCAACCCTGCACTGTATAACAAATATATCATATTTTCTCACATTGAACACTTTATTCTTCCTTGAAGATGAACAACAAAGCTGAACAATTACTAGTTATATATAAAATTTAAACTTATCACATGTACAGTTTTCACATTTCATATGTATATTGAGGAATCAGTGCATCCTTTCCTATGAGCACTCTGGAAGACAAAAGAGAGAAAGCTCCTTGAGCTATCAACCAGCCCATTCTAGAAAAGTCTTTTAGATTTCCAAGCTGTTCTAACCACTCTCTCTTATTGCAGTTCCCCCCTAGGGAAGTGGTTCTCGGGTGCTCAGCCCCCACCTCTGCACCACCCAGCTTCTAGCTGGCTCCACCTAGTTCTGCCACCTGACAACATTTTTCTCAATTACTGTACAATTAATGTGTAAAATAAACTCTCTCCTTCCTCGGGCCCTCCTACTATATTCTTTCCGGCTTCATCTGCTTGGAACTGCTTTGTGGTATCCCATTCCAATCTACCAGTTGGAAAGCTAGCTAGCTACAGTGCCTGGTACAGAAATGGCAATTAGACCCAAGACTCCACATAATTAACATGACACTGGGGGAAGATCCCCTCGTGAGCCCTGTACTCTACTTGAACGATCTTATACAATACACTGCTATTTTTATACTCTCTTCAACAGGGCCTGAAAAGGAAAGAAAACCTGAACTACAAACAATGAATAATTTTTAAAATAACTCGCATTAAAGCAGGGGGATGAATAAATTGGATTAGCCCTCAAAGCCTGCACCACTTCACGATCTGTTCTCTTTACAAGGTTCCCAGAGGTGCGATTTGGTTTCCAGATACGACCTATGTGCTGAGAGTACTGGAAATAACCAAGACCAGATGGTGCCCCATTCTAAAGCCAAACCAAGTAGAATAAAATTTCCAAAGGAGGGAAGCGAGTAGAGAGGGGAGGTGTGATGGTTTGGAGGCAACCTCAAGGGCTAGAAGTATAATAAAACAGGATGTCTCTGAGCAACCCCAGGCCTCACACAGTGGCACAGCTTCCTTAATTAACAACTTACATCAGACAAATGGGAAGAAGAAATTAAAGGGAAGCTTGGCATTGATGGTTGGTCGGAAGCCTGCCTCTGCAGGTGCAGATACATCCACAAATGTGACCATGGTGGAAATAAGAATCGTACTCTCATTTCCTGAGTTGGTCTGTAAAAAAAAAAAGAGTGATGCACGCCCCTGCCTTCCAGTGGTGCCAGGATAACAAAGATGGGACGTCTCACCCAACCACTGTCAGTTCCTGAATCTCATAGGTATATGGAGGGCTAATCAGTCACTAACTCAGATGAAGTACAATTTTTAGCCAGGTTATCCTAACACACTGAAGTCAATCATAACTCAATTTTCACCAGAATTTTAAAGATGAAACCTAAACAACAATGCTAATATAAATTAAACCTCCCATCAGTGAATTTTTTTTTTCCTAAAAGATAACTGCTAAATTGTTTTAAGAATGCAAATTGCTTAAACTTCAATTGTAATCTTTTTCACAAAATAATAAATTTCGCTATCACACTTGACTTTTGTCTGGACTTGTGTCCTAACCTATACCCTTAAACTAAAGTTAGGCCTACCTCAGGGAATAAGGATGAAATTAGATTTGCAGTTACATTTACTATTTTAGCCTGTGGATTCAATAAGGATCCGTATTTAGTCCACTTCACTTCTATCACCAAAGCCACTGGGAGCTGGCAAGAATCCTACAAAACAAAATGCTGTTAATCAATTTAATTTAAATATTACACAACCTCAAATCAAATTTAATCTGCAGTTCAAAGTTTTAATTATGTTTCACATATTACAAAATGTTCTGAACAAGAGAATGAATAGACTTTAGAAGTTCAGATGAAAACAGCTTAGAGAAAGCACATATTTAAAGTACGCAATGCTCCAAAAATATTTTAACACCTAAAGCATAATTTTTCCATCCCTTGCTATCTCTAAAGAGACCAGCATTACTTGGGAATTATGGTAATTTCAATACCCAACTATGGAACCTTGAGGGCCTTATCTGCTCTAACTTCATCTGTCTATTTATATCTGCCTCACAGATATTTCCAGAGAGAAACTGGTATTGGGCAGGGAGGAGAAAGAGGGAGAAAGGATAGTACTATGAACAGATAGAAATTAAATTGGATTGCATATCACACTGAAATGTACCTAGAGGAACTTAAAGTACTTTCTTTTCATTTATCTAATTTCATTGGTTGACACTTAAGATGTTCCATTGGGGTTTACCGGAAGAGACAGTAAGTCATCAAAGATCATCTTAACAACCAAAGAGCTTTAGTGTTACAACTGAGCTGCCCCAGTTGAGGTTAGATGCTGAGGGAACTGGCCTGAGGCCTCTGCCCCAGAGCTTTTGTTTGGTCAGTCCCAAGAGAAAAATGGGAAAATGGACCTTCCCAATCTTTTCCTGCCTTCAGATCTCCTTAATTGGCAAATGTGGTAACTGTTGAAGCTGCATGGTAGGTAGAAGGGATTTCCATTCTATTATTCTACTTCTGTGTGTGCCTGAAAATTTTTCACAAGTTTTTAAAGAATATGTCTCTTCAAGGCATGAAAAGCTAGCAGGCCTGCTAAATTTGGTGTCTGCCAAAAGGCACCAGTGGAATTCCTTAGCTTGGAACTGCCTTCTAAGAAATCTACAGGCTGGAAAAAAAAAAGAAAAGAAATCTACAGGCTGAAAATCCTTGAGCTATCCTAGAAGATGCAACATGTAGCTGGTATAAACTGAGTTTAGCAGATGCTCTCACGCCTGCGTCTACCTGGTTTCCTGAAAGGTTGGTATAAAACCCTCTCTAGGTCCCCGCTAGCTCCCTGGACCAGCACAGACCTTAGAAATACTGATGTCCACACTGCTGCCTCTCCTCCCAACCTATGTTTACGCTTCTTAAGGGGAATAATAACTGGAAGTCTTAACTCAGCTCAGAGAAGCCAGAAGCAATTTGCCTGGTTCACTGAGGCAGCAGAGCTGAGCTAAGACTTCGCAGCTGAACAGCAGGAACTGAGTAATCAGGGGTTTCTGCTGGGGGCTAGTGAGTTAGTCCAAACCCCTGTTGTCCCCAGGCTATAAATATGCTAAGCAGATAATGAGAGGCCTGAAGAAACTGTGACAAGAAAAAGCTTGGCAATTAAAGGATGAGGTGGAGGGCACGCCTCCAGTGATGGGGACCAGCCCACACACTGACTGCTGAGACAAAAGAAAAAGGTGGGCAGAAGAATCCCATGTGATCAGGAGCCTATTTGTAGGACGTCAGCTGCCATTAAAATCTTTAAGGAACTTTGGAGTTGAAAGCTCTCACATGCTGGCTGCCTTTGCAGACTGGGGAACAAGGGTGGGACAGCTACCTGGATGGAGGAAGACTCAGTCTTTCTGAGATCGTCCTCCCCCTCGACTGTCATACCACAATACTGGAGAAGGCCTCGTGTAACAGTGAATAGTCAGGATGCTGATCAGTGGCAGTCCCCACTTGCGGAGTGACCACTAGGCACTAGAAATGTTACTTTGTTTGACTGGACAACCCCATGAGGTCAATAGCATAGCTACAATTCCCATTCACAGATGAGGACACGGCTCAATCCCACAAAATCACTGGCCAAAGGCAAGAGTGCTCACAGAGGGCAAAATCAGTCCTCAAGATCCAGGCTCACCTGAAAGCAAAGCCAGGAGCTCCTAACCCAGAGCCACGCGCCCCCTCCGCAGGCTGCTCCCCAAGCTGCATTTCCCCGAGGCCGGAGGAGCAGGGCAAGGAGGACAATATCTTGCAGGCATCCTTCAGCTCCCCGCCCTTTACCTTCACGTGGGATATCTGGGTGACAAAGTGGACAGGCACCCAGTCCAGCACATCCTGAGCCCTGGAATTTCCAAAAGAGGCCACATAATCTGGGAAGCCCTGGCCCTTCAGCAAGCTCTTCACCTTCTGCATTACAAGTGGACATGTGATAGCTCTGGTCAGTCTTTAGGAAGGAAAAAAAAGGTCAACAGAATGAGGCTGTGGTTCTCACCAGTACAGGCCTCAGCAAAACCGGGCTTATGTCACAGAAACTTAAGAGTAACTTTGGGAAATTTTGATTGGCCAGGGAGACAAATCCAAAACATTTTCCAAACTGTGTTCCATTGAGAAGCTCTGTACAAGAAGGGATTCATGGCCAAAAGTTTGGGAAATATGGCATACCCATGCCCCTCCTGGAGCACACTGGCATATCAAAAGCTCTGAGAAGTCCTACAGTAAGGAACCATACTTTTAACCAATATCCCAAGGATACTGGACCATAGACCTACACCTACTGACATCTTGTAGAAATGTAGTCCATGGAACCCCCTTTGAGAAATGCTGGTCTAAAGTGATCAGAATAATGTAAATAGTAAATATTGGTCTAACCAAAATAATGATATGATTGCCTGGGAGATGTAGGGATGGAAAGTGAGCAGTGGTGAAGTAGGGGGTGAAAGGGAAAAGAGCCAAATTTCATCTTACCTAGTGGGAACTCACTAATTTATAAAAAACAAAATATCAAGAAGTAGCCTTATGTGCAGGTCATTTAAAAATATGGGGGTAAATTTCAAAAAAATCAGCTACAAGAGTTGGAAGTGACTGTCCCTGTGGTGAGGGAAATGTGGGTAAGAACTGTTGTCTTTATAGACAGCAGGCAGAGCTGCTTGACCTTTTACATTATGTACATATTTGATAATAACAAGACAAATTAAAAACATCACATCAGACTTCCTCTCACTGGGTTTGCTGTTCTGTGTATATTAAAATTCAGAAATATAGGGAAGGACTTTCAGAAAAAATATTTTTGCTGGGAACTGAAGTGCTATGCAACCTTAAAAACAAAACATAGTATGTCATAGTTTTCCTTTGAATAATGATAAATGGCTTATGATTATGAGAATCGAAATTATAAAACAAACAATGCCATTATAAGGTACAGTTACTATTGCTACTATCCATTAACACCTATAATAAGCTACATTGTGGCTTTCTTTCACTTATCAGCTGATGCAGAGGTTTGATTAAAATGGGGAAGGGGAAGGATACGATGCTTTGTTTTCTCATCAACACAAACAAGTTCCAATAGAAACAAATTACTCTTACCTTAGTTTACAGCCAGACTGCATATTGTAACCAAATAATACTGGGGTCCGGATCCCCGCAAAGCAGTCTTGCTCAGCTATACTACGAAGAATAGTTAATTGTCCATATCTATTCCTGGTCTGAATAATCCCGGACATTCATAGAGTTAAGGAACAATCACTCAGTACCAAAACAGTCTAACTCTCAGGGGACAATGTCACATGTGTGACAGGAGAGAGATCCAATATCCCTTCTCTGGGCCTCTGTGATTTTGACAGTTATTTCCCAGGAGGGGCAAACAATAGTTCTATTTTCCTTGATTCATCAGTAGATCCTCAGAAGAAAAATCCTCAGACATTGGCCCTTCAAAATTAATTCCAAATTTTCAAAATCACTAAATTTGTTTAAGAGTCTCTGTTGAAGTGTGAAATTAAATATATCTAATGTTTGTCACATTTTCTGGCTTTGAGATACTCATTATAAAACAGTGACATTCTCCTGGGCTGTGCCATTTCACCCTCAACTGCCTTCTCCACACAGCCCCACAAACTGTGTGGCCAAACCCCCACCAGGGAGACCCAGAGGAAGCCCTGTTGAGACTAGTCTCTCCAGACAACAGGACTCTCAGCAATAAAGAGAAGTGCAGCCCTCACATGTGGACAGGGAGATCAACCTTCTGTACAGAACCAAAAAGGATATCCTCTCCGAGGCTGAAATCCAGCAGCTAATGGGAGCCCCACAACATAACCGGGATTTCCACTAAGAGGAACTGGCTTTGTACCTTGCTGAAAGACAATGCAGAAATGCCCCCAGATAAGTCTTGTTTTAATAAGAAGATGGCAAGGAAAAATGAAATGCTTTTCATAATAAAATCTGGGACTACCAGCCAATAAAATAATTTTCCCCCTACTCAAAACTATAAATATATCTGCTGAGTGTGGGAGTACATAATAGTGTAAGAGAACAAGTGCACATGGAAGAGAATCTTTTCCAAATGGAGAAAGATACAAGGACTCTGCCTGGTTTCATTAGCCTCTACATGCACACCAAGACGTTTGTTTAGTGCAAACTGTTAGATGTACTAAGTTTAGTAAACTTCTAAATTGAGATGTTTTTTCACTAAGAAGTTATTATTTCTTTTTACTTGGCAATTAAAACTTGCACAAAACTGATCAAACTTACCTGAATAAAACTAATTTCAAACTTTTGATGGAGCGGAAGCACTGCACTGTTAACAGTCCCCAGAAGGAGCGAGAGGTCGGCTTTTGCTACTTCACCTGCGTCTGTGTATGTGAGGCTGTACTTCACCTAAAAACAAAATGACACTCTAAATACACCTGTTCCTGTAGCTCTATTAATAACTCAAATAAGATATATATTGGAGACAAGTCCTTTCCCATTTCTCTACTTGTTGAAGCATTTCTCTCCTGTCCAGTCCAGTCACAGGAGGTGCTATCTCAGCATCAGCCCAGCTGACAGACAGGTCACAGCCTCTCTGTGCTTGACTGCATCAGCCCCAAATCAGCCCATCTGAGCAGAATGGATCAGGCTATCCCTGCAGAGGAAACGTGTTACAACAGAATAGCAACAACAAATCTGGACATATTCTTACAAGTCACTAGGTTCATGGAGAAACATCACACATGATTATTTCAGAGGCAAATACGGAAGCGTCCTCTGATGAGACAGCATAAAGGCAAGCCAGAGGGCGAGCCAAGAAAAGCAATACCATAGGATGGAGCCCCTTGGAGGCCATCCAGTTACTCTCTCAGGACCACGCAGCTGGAATCTGCTGCAAACACAGCGATCAGAGCCAAGCTGGGCACCCACCTCAAGAACGACGTTCATGCAGACTGCAATGTCCCCGGCCCCAACAAGAGCCTGCCTCAATTCAGCAGTGTCTTGCAGCCGGGTTAGTGTTTTATTTAGAGATCTGACAGTGATGGACCGTACAGTGACTGGGACCTGCAAAGTAAAGAAAGACCTGGATCACTAAAGACCCTCTACAACTGAGGTGAATGGGTTAAGATAATGAAAAACTTGAAACAAACCTTTGCTAATACACTGCAAAGTAGGGAAAAGCATAACTACAGAAATATATGTGTACTATAATTCCATATTTGCAAAAATAGATATATTTATAAATACATACATTTATACAGAAAATACTCAAGAAGGATATAGCCAAAATTTTTTTAATGGTTCTCTCCGTAAACCTACGTCCACACAAAAAAGTGTGCACAAATGTTCATAGCAGCATTCACAATACCCCAAAACTGAAATTAACCCAAATGTCCAACAACCGATGAATGGAAAAATGAAACCTGGTACAGCCATACAAACGGATATTATTCACACATAAAATGGAGTGAAGCACTGACACATGCTACAGCATGGATGAATCTTGAAAACACGATGCTGAGTGAAATAAGCCAGTCACAAAAGGCCACATATTATATGACTGCATTATTATAGGGAATGTCCAGAACAAGGAAATCCACAGAGACAGAAAGTAGAGGTCGCCAGGAGCTGAGGAGAAGGTTGGGAGTGGACTGCTAGGGTATGATACAAGGTTTCTTTTTAGGGTAATGAAAATATTCTGGAATTAGACAATGGTGACAGTTGCACTACCTTGTGAATACACTAAAAACCATTGAATTGTACCTTTTGAAACGGTGAGTTTTGTGTTATGTGAATTCTCTCTCTCTCACACACACTCCATCACACCATCAAATGCATGCGCATACTCTCATCTCCGAAGCACAGCTCCTATTGATAAATGCACTCACTCTGTCCTCACTTGTGCACCTTCTGCTCCACACAGTAGTCCCAGGGCACACTAAACCCCCGCAACCTCCCTGAATATATGCCAGACCAACTTCTGTACACACACACTGGGTGGTAGGATCATGGGTAAGAGAAAACAGAAACAGACACATCTTTTAAGAAGAATCAGGAAGCCCTGGTAGACCCAATGCAATAGCATTTAAAATATATTTTTCATTCATGGCCATCATCAGCTGAGTGACAAAGCAGCAGACAATCCTTCAAGGAACTTGACCCTCCAAATGTGACAAATCTGACATTTGCTCTAAATGTCGGCTCTTAGAAACCACTATTTAGGAAGGAATCTTACTTGTACCTGGTTGTTTATATTGCTTTGAACTTTGCCCTCAATCATGTGCCCTGCTGTTTATCATTCAAAATTACTAAGTATTTAAGCTGTCATTTTTTTAGATAAATAAGTAGTTCTTACGTGTCTGCTCCCATGACCAAGAAGACCTGCAACTGTCCTCGTAAGTCAAACCTCTCACACAAGAACGTGACATGGTTCAGGAGCAAAGATGAGCTGTTAGGTGACAAGAGTGGAAAAGGCACCTCCAATCACCGCAACGCCCTCTGCATAACAAGCCACACCAACGGACTGCAGAGTTACACAGGAGGTACCGCGCTACAAGCTCACTAGCTCCTAAGTTTACGTCATCAAAGGACAACCCCAGATTCCTTCATCTGAACATACTGACCCCTGATCCAGTGATGATACTGGGTTCCAGAGGTGCATGCCCCTCCACACCAGCCAGTGACGGAGCCATTCCCATGGTGTGCAGGTGTGCTGGCAGAAACTGAAGGGTCCAGTTTAAACAAGCTTTGGAAAGACTGATGGGCTAGTGTAGGTGGCAAGATCTGCCCTAGTAAATCAACAACCACTGGAACAGTCACAAGAATGAAAAGGCGGGCTGTTCTGGCTTCCTGAATGCCCTGTGCAGTCATATCCCATCCCCAAGCCACCCACTGGCAAAGAACCAAAGCAGATTTAACAATGAAACCAGGGCCAGAGACTTACTGAACTTACTGAAATGACTCACTGAAGCCACTTACGGTAGGTTCTGCGTCCTGAGTGCCTCCTGGTTGCCAGATGCTGCAGCGGACACCTTCTGTGTGTCACCCACTCCAGCCTGACACTTAAGCCTCTGGGACAGATGCTTACCCACTGCTTTACAATGGGGAAACTGAGGTATATAACATACAAGAAAATGATGGCAAAGCTGAGTCTGAACTAAGGCCAAGCAATTCCACAGGCTTTGGGAGGCTATGACAAGGCCACCTCTTTGGGCCTCCTGGGCACTGTATTCACAGGCAGGTATATGGCACAGACCCAAGAGCAAGGGGTAGACCCATGTTCCTTTCTCTCTGGCATATCCACAAAGGGACCTTGGACTCCTGACCACAGGCTGACAGAGCCCCTGGGCTGGAGGTGCTAAGGCTGTAAACAGAACCTACCCATAACTCCTGAAGCTACAATGAGAATGTTCACCTCCTACACAGGTATGTACATTTACTGGGCAAAATGTTTCTATCTTCTATAACCATATAGACAGCATCCTAGGGCTTGGCCAGCTCTCCTGACAAGAGCTCAAGAAGTTGCAGAGTTACACAGGAGGTACCGCGCTACAAGCTCACTAGCTCCTAAGTTTACGTCATCAAAGGACAACCCCAGATTCCTTCATCTGAACATACTGACCCCTGATCCAGTGATGATACTGGGTTCCAGAGGTGCATGCCCCTCCACACCAGCCGGTGACGGAGCCATTCCCATGGTGTGCAGGTGTGCTGGCAGAAACTGAAGGGTCCAGTTTAAACAAGCTTTGGAAAGACTGATGGGCTAGTGTAGGTGGCAAGATCTGCCCTAGTAAATCAACAACCACTGGAACAGTCACAAGAATGAAAAGGCGGGCTGTTCTGGCTTCCTGAATGCCCTGTGCAGTCATATCCCATCCCCAAGCCACCCACTGGCAAAGAACCAAAGCAGATTTAACAATGAAACCAGGGCCAGAGACTTACTGAACTTACTGAAATGACTCACTGAAGCCACTTACGGTAGGTTCTGCGTCCTGAGTGCCTCCTGGTTGCCAGATGCTGCAGCGGACACCTTCTGTGTGTCACCCACTCCAGCCTGACACTTAAGCCTCTGGGACAGATGCTTACCCACTGCTTTACAATGGGGAAACTGAGGTATATAACATACAAGAAAATGATGGCAAAGCTGAGTCTGAACTAAGGCCAAGCAATTCCACAGGCTTTGGGAGGCTATGACAAGGCCACCTCTTTGGGCCTCCTGGGCACTGTATTCACAGGCAGGTATATGGCACAGACCCAAGAGCAAGGGGTAGACCCATGTTCCTTTCTCTCTGGCATATCCACAAAGGGACCTTGGACTCCTGACCACAGGCTGACAGAGCCCCTGGGCTGGAGGTGCTAAGGCTGTAAACAGAACCTACCCATAACTCCTGAAGCTACAATGAGAATGTTCACCTCCTACACAGGTATGTACATTTACTGGGCAAAATGTTTCTATCTTCTATAACCATATAGACAGCATCCTAGGGCTTGGCCAGCTCTCCTGACAAGAGCTCAAGAAGATAACTAAGGAATGCCCTGAAAGCACAGAAGCCAGTCTCACCCACTGTCTGTCAAGCTATGCCACATAAACAGGAAAAAGTATGGACTATAAAAATCGGGAATTTAAAAACCTGGAAAACTAAAAAGTTTCCCTATTTTGTTTCTGCTTGTTCTTTGGCAAATATTTTTGTTATTGGCAGTAAGGTACCCTTCTAATCCTAAGTGTATTCATTTCAAAAGGCTCAGAGATAAGACAGTGTCCTGCAAGCTACCTTATTTTTCCATTGAAAAATACTCTTACCTTTGTTGTTGAACCAGGCACCTAAATGAAAAGAAACATCAAATTCAGTTAAAGACAACTAAAAGAAGACCTTGGTTCTTATCCCCCTTTAAGGGGATAGTCATCTTTTTAAAGACTTCACAAAAAGGAAAACAGATTTCTGTAATTAAGACTTACCATCTACATGTTTTTGAATCTATAATCAAAGCTTTAACTACATTTTCCTTCTATGTTCATTTCCAACAGGGCTAGTCTCAGGGAGGCCCCATGCTTCGGTGTAATTATTCAGTATTTCCATATGGTCCTCAGTGACATAGCACTGTGGGGAAGACATGGCTCCCATCTTCCTGGTCACTCACTACACCTGTCCTCCCTGGAAGGACCCCATCATTTGCCTAGGTGACTTCGATAGCCTCCTGACTGGTCGTTCTGACTCTAGCCCAAGCCCCCTCATTGCCAAGCTCCTGCTTCCCCACCACAGCTGAGCCCTTTCGGAAGGTCATGGCCTCCCTTCTTTCCTCGTCCCCATCTCCCCCAGTCACAAGACACACCATCAAGTCAGTGGGAGGTTTGGGGAGGCATGTGCTGAAAGAGAACTGTGCCTGAGGGATACTTCCAGGACAACTGAAATCGAACTAATTGGAAGGATTCACAGGCCTTCACAGCTGACTTATGAGAAGAGAGTGGGAGGAAAAAGTTAAACTTGATTCTGAAAACTGAAGCCCAGATGAATACTGGTGCCATGGACTACCCTACCCCCACACTCCCCTACCCAAAAAAGAGGAAATGGTGGGGGGAGAGGGGAGCTTTCATAACAATCACATGGTTTTTAATCATTGAAAAACCTCTTCTCTTTCAATCCTCCATGTCATCCAGTGGCCTCTCCTTTTCTCAGTTCAGCCTTGTCACTGCTACTGGAAAGAAACAGGTCTCTTCACCACCAGGACCTCTTCTCCCTGCCCCAGGAATCCTACTTCCTGTCCTTCCCTGGTTGCTTATTACATCGCCAACGGGAAAGCGGATTTTCTATTCTTTTCTGGTCTGTCTCTCAAAGAGGTATCTTTTTGGAGCTAATATGATTATTTCTGTTACAGACATTAAGACATTTATAGTTGCTAAAGTATTTGCTTACTCAAGTTGTTTTTAATTCAAGAGACAGACATTATCAGTTACCATCAATATAATGGAAAAAAAAGGAAAAATGAATGAAAGCAAATATGAGCTAGCTAAAAATAAGAATTGTTTTAAGGGATTTTTTTCAGCATCTTTGGTATCAGTATACCAAATAACTAGAGAAGAAAAATTTAAACTTGACTTGTCAATCATGCACCAGAATTATTCTTTACTTAAGTATCTTTTCAACAGAATATATTTTCCTTCATGTATCAAAAGAACAGAAAGAAAACTAATAAATCAGTTTCACTTCAAAATAATTCTTACCCTCAAAATTTTAGGGCTGCTGTAATGAGCCATGCTGAGGGCTTCAGCTGCTTCACACTGCTCCACATTTATTATTCTGGTGCAGCCAACAGCTTGGTTCACCAGAAATGCTGGAAATCATCACATTCCCAAGGAAAAAATAAACAAAAAAGAGAAAACATTTCTCCAATGTCCAATGGTAACTAAAAAACTATAATCGAAGTAAAACTGCAAGATAAGTTATGACACAGATATACAGCATGCTTGAAATAGTTTAAAAGTTGTTTTTCAAATAGGTAATACATTCACGATTCAAAATGCAAAGGCACAGCATTTAGAGTGGTCTTCCTCCCAGCCCTGTCTCCCAGCCCCCAGCTTCCACCAGCCCCTTCCCCAGAGGTAATCACTGTGCAGTTTATTGTGCATCTTTCTGGAAATATTTTATGCAAATAAAAGCATGTGTATATATATCTTTAGCTATTTCTTTCCCCCTTTGGAAACAAATGTACAATATCTGTTCTGCCCTTCATTTTTTTTCACTAAACAATATATCCTGGAGTTCAGTCTATTTCAGCACACAAAGCGCCTCTTCCTCCTCTTTTAGGGATAATTAGTATTCTGTCAGAGATATGCCATAGCTGATTCAACCAGTTCCCCATTACTGGACACTTAAGTTGTCTCTAGCTTTTCTGTCACAAACAATGCTGCAATCTATTATTTTGCATGTGGGCCAGAGTTTCTGTAGGATCAACTTCTAGAAGTAGGACAAAGGGCATATTCACTCACAATTTTGATACACATTGCCAAACTGCTCCTCACAGAGGCTGTCCCAGTCTACAGTCCCACGGCCACGTAGTTGAGTGCCTGCTTCCCTACAGTCTTAAATTGCTTAAGCTTTGCCAGTCCATTAAGTGGAAATAATATATCAGTTTGGTTTTAATGTACACTGTTCCTATTGTGAGCAAGATTAAGTATCTTTCAACAGAATTTATTTTGCTTCATTTACCAAATGAGGCCTCATTAAGCCACATGCTGTCATCCATTACTTGGCTAGCTTCTTCATAGTGAGGCTGGCTTAAGGACTAGAGGGCCATGCCTGCTGCCTTCCACCGCCGAGAGGATTACACCACAGATCCTACAATGCTCCTGAAAGGAGAAGCAGGACCCATGGGAGGCAGTTTCAGGGGCTGCATCCATCCCTTGTGCAGGTTGTACCTCTGCTCCACCACCTCCTGAGGGAGCCTGAGCAGGAAATTGAATGCCTCTCAGTTTCCTCATCTAAAAAATTAAGATAACAACCTTACCTTAAAGATCACTATGGGGATCAATTGGAAAAATACTTGCAAGCACTTAACACAATGCCTAACACACAGTAAGTGCTTAATAAATGGTAGTTGTTGACAAACTTTAGCTCCAGTGAAAAAAGAACTTCCCAACTGGCTGTGTTCAACAACTGAGTGGGCTAGTTTCAGGCAGTGAGTTCCCATCACTACGAGTGCTCAAGCAGTGACTACATGTGGTAGAAAAGAGTCCAGCACAGGGTAAACTAAACTACATAACCTTGAGGCCTCTTTCGATTCCAATACTGTTTCCAGTTAGGAAGCCTGTTTAATTATGACTACTATAAATTTAAACTAGAGCAAACTCTGTTTACAGACACAAAGAAAAATGCCTACACTTACCTGCAGGGTTATTATCAGTGCACAGAGATGATGTGAGGGGAGAAGGAAATCTCAAAAACGAATCTGAAGTCTGCAGGGGAACCCCATACTGCGAATGGAACAATCAGTAGCTGTTATATTATTCAAGCCTTCATTCAGCACTGACTGGGCACCTACCATGTGCCTGGCAGCACTGCAGCATCAGGAACACAGTGAGGGGCAAAAAATCAGATGGGGTCCTTGTCCACATGGGGCTTACATCTAGCTGCCCCACCCTGTTCTTTAAAGGATGTGTGTTTCTGTGTGTGCATGATACTGTATTTGCAGGCTTTTTTATTATAGAATTCCTCTGGGAGAGTATATAAAAAGCTGACATACATGTCTGCCTCTGCAGACAGGAACTGCAGGGGCAGGGGTGAGAGGTAACTGTTTTTCACTAACAATAATTCATAACAAATAACAGGTACAGTACACATTAAAATCCTAACATTGATGTGCCTTCTTCCCCAAAACCAAACTCCATGAAACTTTTCCCCAATATTCAAAGCAAGATTTATAGCTATTGGGCATACAGGTAATTTTTTTTAATTTGAAAGTATCCACCTGCCTTGGTGCCACCAAGGGTATGGGGAAAGAAGCACTCTTCCTTCCCAGGAGCTGAGAGTGCAAACTCCTGCAACCTTTCTGGAGGGCAATCTGATACGGATATTTTTACAGCTCCTTCATTCTAAGTTAACCCATTTACAGAAACCTATCCTAAGGATTAAAGCAGACAAAGATGTATATATCTGTAAGAATTTTCATTGTGGGTTATTTACAATAGCAAAAACTGGAAAAGAAGGCCTGTTAATAGTGGAATGGCCCAATAATAAATGATACATATCTGGAAGCAATATTTACGTATAAGAAAATGTAGCTGCAACACAGCCTCTGACAAGATACTTTCCTATACTCCAGTTTTTCTCATCAGTTAAATGGGAACAATCTTGTATCCCTCCCACGCATGTATGAAATAAGCTTGGGAAGCTCTGAGCAGTGCCTGGCACATGAAAAATGCTCAAGAAATGGTAACATTTATATTGACATGGGAAGATGCATAACATTTATCCCAGAATAAAAAAATAAGTTTACAGAACACTGTGGATAATTAAGAATCCCAAGTCTGTACAGTACTAAATGTTTACCTTTATAGATGCATTTAAAAATTGGGAATTTACACCAATCTGTTAATATGACTTGCAGCTGTATATTTTAATGGCGACAGGGGACCTTTCCATTTTTACTTATGTACTCCTATACTTTTAACTCCTATACTTTTTATACTTTTAGAACCAGCACATTGCTTTTATACTTCTCTTTTAAAATGATGCTTCCAAAAATTTTGAAGTTTACTCAAAGTTAATGCATATATCACATTTAAAGGTTTACTGATGAATAGATATAAAAGAGCACACATCTTCCCAAAGGCTGTAAAATTAAATACAACTTTGAGAAGAGGAGCAGGCATCTAACCAACCCACAACAAGCTCCCAGCAGCTGCCTTAGGCACTTTGCTGCATCTTTTGAGGTGGAGAAGAGCAAAGAATTCTGCATAGACAAATGCTAACTTACCACAGAATAAAAAACTTTAAACCCTGTATTAGAATTCAACAGCACAACTTCATTTTCATGATCTTTGATATACAGGCACAAACATTAAGTTTTTTCATCTGAAATGCAAATTCTGTCTCAGGGAAGCCAGTTTTGCTGAGAACGTACTGAAAAATTAATTTGCGAGGACAGGATATTTGTGATGGGGTGAAAGGAATCAAGTTCTTGACTCACCTCATATTTAGCAGTCTTTGGAGTATCCAATTTGGGTGTAAAAGAAACATCTGATTCTGCATTCAATGAAAAACCACTAGATGTTTTCATCAATTCATCAAAATTATTTTCATCAGGTACTTCTGGATTAATAAAGGATAATGCAGGTTTATCTGTTTTTAGAAAAATTATTTTAAATCAATATAAAATAAAATATAAACACACATAACATATGTAATATTCTGGAAACAGTTTTTAGTAGCATTAAGGCTGATGTGATGAAAATAAAGTATCTCTTTTTATATTTATTTCCCCCAAGATTTCTGGAATCTTATTAAATAAACAAGCTCCCCAGACTTGGCCTCTATCTCTAACAATGTAGAAGCAATGGTTTCTAAAGCCTACAGGCAAATGACACAACAGAAGCCAAAACCAATCTCATCGGCCCCTGGACTGAGAGGCCTGCTGCATAAACATCTAAGGCGAAGCTCTCTGCTGATGGCTACAGGGACCAAAGACCATTGTTTCTTCTCTCACACAGCCACCTCCAAAGCCTGGGAGAACAACATGCCGTGTATGGGCAAGGGAGAAGAGTAGGCAATGGGTGGCAGTGCTCACTGGCTGGTGTTAGGTTGGAGAGTGTGACGACCACTGACCAGTCATTACTTTAGGTCCTAAGTTTTCAGTTGCAAGGGGAAAAATACAAAATAAAAAGACATTCTAAAAACACAATGAAGCTTAATTGGTAAAACCACAAATACATCTCTGATCTTTGAAAGCTTGACAACATTTTTTCACTTACATGTACTTTGGATCTAGACACCTACTTGAGCTAAATGCTCAGATAAAAATAAAGATCCTGTTTTCATGCAAATATTTTTAGTAAAAATAAAAGAGAAAAAAGGAAATTGAAACTGAGCCTGATTTTCAACCATTAAACCAGGAGGAAATAGAGTTAAAAAAATACACACACACACACACACACACACACACACACACACACACACCCCTAAATAAATCTAGATTTCTATGCACGTCTACATATTATAAACACCTTTGAAATAAAATAAGAGATTTCAAAAGACAACTATACAAGCACAATTACTTTTAAAGAAATGTACATGCCCACAGGTCTGTAAAGTTACTTCCAGTTGCCTTGAAATGGCCTCAGAAGATATACCCTCGACAAACCATAGAATTGCTTTAAATCTAACCGAATGGCATATTTTTCCATAAAAGAACTTTTAAAAGGAAAAATTCAGTTTCACAAAGTGTATCACCATCAAATACTTACAGTTTGTAATATGAATGCAGAAAATAGATGGATTGATCTGGTCAACAAGCTTAAACACCCTTTGAGGTGGGTTTGCTGTAAAATTTAATGAATAGATGGCTGCTTTTTGACTACAAAACTGACTATCACCCCTGAAAATTAAGAAAATACAAAATTTTAAGGCATATGCACACAATCTTACTAAGATTATTTTAAAACTCAGATGCTTGTATTGTACTATGTTACCTATATGGAGGATATTTATGAAAGCATGATGTTAGAATTAAATCCATTTTTATTTAGTTTATTCAGTGTTAAAATATTTGGCATTTGAAACTTTTTCCTTTAACAGGAAAAATATTAAGATAAATAGAATAACTTTTAAAGAAATCTTCCTTAAAATATGTAAGTACGGAATACAGACCAGAGTGTAATTTTCATGTAAATGAACCTTATAAATTCTGACAGGATTAATTATATAAATGTTTGCCGAACTTCAGATTGTTTCTAAGTACTCAGATGGATCCCAAAATTCCTTGTCTTTAGAAGAAAGCTCTCTTCAAAGAAATGTGAAAATGAGAAAATATGGAGTCATCTGAAGTCTTGGGGCTTAGAAGTTAGGGTAGTCAAGACTGCAACCAATCTCATACTTGACAAACCCTAATCAATTTGATAACAGAGATAGATGTAGAGTGGAGAGAGATATAACAAAAATGGGGTCATATTCTACATATTGCCTTAAGGCCTCTCTCACTTAATACTTACTATGCAATATTTCCCATGTCATATGTTTTTTCAACATTATACTAAATGGCCTCATTGTACACCAACTTATTAAGACAGGCCCATGTTTTTTTTAACCAATCCTCTACTGTTGGTTTGGGTTTTTGCTAATTTTCCCCAGTTATATATAATGCTTAATGACATCCTTGTACATAAAATCTTTATTAATGTCTCCAGTTCTTCCTTAGGCTGTATCCCCTGAAGTGGAATCACTGAGTTGAAAGGTAAGTACATATTTAAGGTTTCTGAGATATCATGCCAGGTTGCCCTCCAGAAAGGCAAGATGCAGCTTTATCAACTCTATAGTAAGGGTGCCCATTTCCCTGTACTTTTGCCAAGATTGGATATTATTACTGTTTTTACCCTTTGTGAGTTTCTTGGGCAAAAATCTGTTATCTCACTGTCATCTTATTTTATCTGAATTTTCTTGCTTACTAGTAAGGTTAAACATTTTTCCATATGGTTATTACTCAATGGCATTTCTTCTTTAACTTGCTTGTTCGTATCTGTTGACCATGTTTGTCTTCTCACTGATTTATGAGAATCTATATTTTTAAGAATCTCCTTTTGGTTGTAAATATTTTTTCCCAGATTTTTACCTTTCAATTTCATGGTTTTTTTTAAAATCATATAGAAGTTTTAATTTTCTTCATAATAAAATTATCATTCTTTTCTTTTATGGTTTGCCTGTGGGTTTATGCTTAAAAGATATTCCCTAACTCAAGATTAACAAATGTTCACCTTCATTTTTCATCCTTTCATTTATTTTTTAGCATTTTACTCTTCAATCTATTAGTAACTTTGGAATAATGGCATAAAACAGGAATGTGATATGCTTTCCAATAATTTTTCATCCTACATCATTTACCAAATGATACAAACTTTGCTCCAACTGAAGTGAAATACCATATTTGCTATATATTAAATATATAAATGAAAAATATAAAATACTTTAAAAAATATCAGCTGCATATAAAATCAGTATACACACTTGATCTTTGGCCTTTCTATTCTCTTCCACTGATCAACATACTTGTCTTGAATCAACAGACATTATTTTCATTATTGTAGATTACAGCATGTTTGAAACCTGGTAGCTTGCTCTTCTTATTCAATAATTGGAAGCAATATTTACGTATAAGAAAATGTAGCTGCAACACAGCCTCTGACAAGATACTTTCCTATACTCCAGTTTTTCTCATCAGTTAAATGGGAACAATCTTGTATCCCTCCCACGCATGTATGAAATAAGCTTGGGAAGCTCTGAGCAGTGCCTGGCACATGAAAAATGCTCAAGAAATGGTAACATTTATATTGACATGGGAAGATGCATAACATTTATCCCAGAATAAAAAAATAAGTTTACAGAACACTGTGGATAATTAAGAATCCCAAGTCTGTACAGTACTAAATGTTTACCTTTATAGATGCATTTAAAAATTGGGAATTTACACCAATCTGTTAATATGACTTGCAGCTGTATATTTTAATGGCGACAGGGGACCTTTCCATTTTTACTTATGTACTCCTATACTTTTAACTCCTATACTTTTTATACTTTTAGAACCAGCACATTGCTTTTATACTTCTCTTTTAAAATGATGCTTCCAAAAATTTTGAAGTTTACTCAAAGTTAATGCATATATCACATTTAAAGGTTTACTGATGAATAGATATAAAAGAGCACACATCTTCCCAAAGGCTGTAAAATTAAATACAACTTTGAGAAGAGGAGCAGGCATCTAACCAACCCACAACAAGCTCCCAGCAGCTGCCTTAGGCACTTTGCTGCATCTTTTGAGGTGGAGAAGAGCAAAGAATTCTGCATAGACAAATGCTAACTTACCACAGAATAAAAAACTTTAAACCCTGTATTAGAATTCAACAGCACAACTTCATTTTCATGATCTTTGATATACAGGCACAAACATTAAGTTTTTTCATCTGAAATGCAAATTCTGTCTCAGGGAAGCCAGTTTTGCTGAGAACGTACTGAAAAATTAATTTGCGAGGACAGGATATTTGTGATGGGGTGAAAGGAATCAAGTTCTTGACTCACCTCATATTTAGCAGTCTTTGGAGTATCCAATTTGGGTGTAAAAGAAACATCTGATTCTGCATTCAATGAAAAACCACTAGATGTTTTCATCAATTCATCAAAATTATTTTCATCAGGTACTTCTGGATTAATAAAGGATAATGCAGGTTTATCTGTTTTTAGAAAAATTATTTTAAATCAATATAAAATAAAATATAAACACACATAACATATGTAATATTCTGGAAACAGTTTTTAGTAGCATTAAGGCTGATGTGATGAAAATAAAGTATCTCTTTTTATATTTATTTCCCCCAAGATTTCTGGAATCTTATTAAATAAACAAGCTCCCCAGACTTGGCCTCTATCTCTAACAATGTAGAAGCAATGGTTTCTAAAGCCTACAGGCAAATGACACAACAGAAGCCAAAACCAATCTCATCGGCCCCTGGACTGAGAGGCCTGCTGCATAAACATCTAAGGCGAAGCTCTCTGCTGATGGCTACAGGGACCAAAGACCATTGTTTCTTCTCTCACACAGCCACCTCCAAAGCCTGGGAGAACAACATGCCGTGTATGGGCAAGGGAGAAGAGTAGGCAATGGGTGGCAGTGCTCACTGGCTGGTGTTAGGTTGGAGAGTGTGACGACCACTGACCAGTCATTACTTTAGGTCCTAAGTTTTCAGTTGCAAGGGGAAAAATACAAAATAAAAAGACATTCTAAAAACACAATGAAGCTTAATTGGTAAAACCACAAATACATCTCTGATCTTTGAAAGCTTGACAACATTTTTTCACTTACATGTACTTTGGATCTAGACACCTACTTGAGCTAAATGCTCAGATAAAAATAAAGATCCTGTTTTCATGCAAATATTTTTAGTAAAAATAAAAGAGAAAAAAGGAAATTGAAACTGAGCCTGATTTTCAACCATTAAACCAGGAGGAAATAGAGTTAAAAAAATACACACACACACACACACACACACACACACACACACACACACCCCTAAATAAATCTAGATTTCTATGCACGTCTACATATTATAAACACCTTTGAAATAAAATAAGAGATTTCAAAAGACAACTATACAAGCACAATTACTTTTAAAGAAATGTACATGCCCACAGGTCTGTAAAGTTACTTCCAGTTGCCTTGAAATGGCCTCAGAAGATATACCCTCGACAAACCATAGAATTGCTTTAAATCTAACCGAATGGCATATTTTTCCATAAAAGAACTTTTAAAAGGAAAAATTCAGTTTCACAAAGTGTATCACCATCAAATACTTACAGTTTGTAATATGAATGCAGAAAATAGATGGATTGATCTGGTCAACAAGCTTAAACACCCTTTGAGGTGGGTTTGCTGTAAAATTTAATGAATAGATGGCTGCTTTTTGACTACAAAACTGACTATCACCCCTGAAAATTAAGAAAATACAAAATTTTAAGGCATATGCACACAATCTTACTAAGATTATTTTAAAACTCAGATGCTTGTATTGTACTATGTTACCTATATGGAGGATATTTATGAAAGCATGATGTTAGAATTAAATCCATTTTTATTTAGTTTATTCAGTGTTAAAATATTTGGCATTTGAAACTTTTTCCTTTAACAGGAAAAATATTAAGATAAATAGAATAACTTTTAAAGAAATCTTCCTTAAAATATGTAAGTACGGAATACAGACCAGAGTGTAATTTTCATGTAAATGAACCTTATAAATTCTGACAGGATTAATTATATAAATGTTTGCCGAACTTCAGATTGTTTCTAAGTACTCAGATGGATCCCAAAATTCCTTGTCTTTAGAAGAAAGCTCTCTTCAAAGAAATGTGAAAATGAGAAAATATGGAGTCATCTGAAGTCTTGGGGCTTAGAAGTTAGGGTAGTCAAGACTGCAACCAATCTCATACTTGACAAACCCTAATCAATTTGATAACAGAGATAGATGTAGAGTGGAGAGAGATATAACAAAAATGGGGTCATATTCTACATATTGCCTTAAGGCCTCTCTCACTTAATACTTACTATGCAATATTTCCCATGTCATATGTTTTTTCAACATTATACTAAATGGCCTCATTGTACACCAACTTATTAAGACAGGCCCATGTTTTTTTTAACCAATCCTCTACTGTTGGTTTGGGTTTTTGCTAATTTTCCCCAGTTATATATAATGCTTAATGACATCCTTGTACATAAAATCTTTATTAATGTCTCCAGTTCTTCCTTAGGCTGTATCCCCTGAAGTGGAATCACTGAGTTGAAAGGTAAGTACATATTTAAGGTTTCTGAGATATCATGCCAGGTTGCCCTCCAGAAAGGCAAGATGCAGCTTTATCAACTCTATAGTAAGGGTGCCCATTTCCCTGTACTTTTGCCAAGATTGGATATTATTACTGTTTTTACCCTTTGTGAGTTTCTTGGGCAAAAATCTGTTATCTCACTGTCATCTTATTTTATCTGAATTTTCTTGCTTACTAGTAAGGTTAAACATTTTTCCATATGGTTATTACTCAATGGCATTTCTTCTTTAACTTGCTTGTTCGTATCTGTTGACCATGTTTGTCTTCTCACTGATTTATGAGAATCTATATTTTTAAGAATCTCCTTTTGGTTGTAAATATTTTTTCCCAGATTTTTACCTTTCAATTTCATGGTTTTTTTTAAAATCATATAGAAGTTTTAATTTTCTTCATAATAAAATTATCATTCTTTTCTTTTATGGTTTGCCTGTGGGTTTATGCTTAAAAGATATTCCCTAACTCAAGATTAACAAATGTTCACCTTCATTTTTCATCCTTTCATTTATTTTTTAGCATTTTACTCTTCAATCTATTAGTAACTTTGGAATAATGGCATAAAACAGGAATGTGATATGCTTTCCAATAATTTTTCATCCTACATCATTTACCAAATGATACAAACTTTGCTCCAACTGAAGTGAAATACCATATTTGCTATATATTAAATATATAAATGAAAAATATAAAATACTTTAAAAAATATCAGCTGCATATAAAATCAGTATACACACTTGATCTTTGGCCTTTCTATTCTCTTCCACTGATCAACATACTTGTCTTGAATCAACAGACATTATTTTCATTATTGTAGATTACAGCATGTTTGAAACCTGGTAGCTTGCTCTTCTTATTCAATAACATCTTCACTGTTCTAATGCTTATTCTTTCAGATAAATTTTAGAATCATTTTGACACCTTACCCTTCTCACATCTAACTGGAATTATATTTATAATTAAGTTTTTATATTTTAATTGAAATGTTTACATAATGATTCTTTCCATCCTATCTCTCCATTTATTTAAATGTTTTATGTCTCTATCTTTTGAAGTTTTCTTCACATAAACTCTGAATACTTAAGTTTATTTCTTGTTCTCTTTCTATTGGTGTTATGAATAGGATCCATCTCCATTAATCCTGTGCAGTGTATTAGTATCACAACTGTATTATTTCTCTCTAGTCACAACCTTCAGGGTGTGGGCAGGGTGCTTATTAATCCTCATCTGCAATTGCATCTGACTTGCTTCCCTGCCACCAGGTCTGGCCCTGTGAACCATCATTCACGCTGATGCAGAATTGTCTAAAATGGAAATCTGATCCCCTCATTCCCTTGCCCCCTGCAAAATTCAGGAAAGATCCAAACTCCTGAGCATACACACAGGCCCCTCAGGATCTGATCCCTGCCACTGTGCCACACCCCTCTTGCCCCACCCTTCCCTAGCAGCACTGAGTTACTTACTGTTAAGCCAAAAGGCCATATCCTTTCACCCCCAGGACTCTGCCCTGTAACTCCCTTGGCCTGGAATGCCCTTTCTGATTCCACGCTGGTCAACTTCCATTTGTCCTTCAGTTCAACTCATCTTTTCTAGAAAGCCTTCCCTAGTCCAACTGTCTAGGTTAGATGTCAGTCCTCTGAGTTCTCCAGGAGCACTAGGTGACTGGTGCAGAAACTGCCATCCACTCATCTACCTGCCTTATTCCATAAGCTCTCTGAAGGCAGAACCATGTCTAATTCTTTGGTACAATGCTGGGGCTGGGACACTGGAGATGCTCGAGAAAGGTGTGGTGAGGTGTGAAAGTCAGATTGTGAGAAAGCAGGGAAGAGGCAGGAGTCAGGGTAGCCTCCAGGTTTCTGGCCTAGTTGTCTACTGAAAGAACAGAAGTGAAGTGAGAAGAGTGGTCAGTTAGGAATCGGGGGGGAGAGATTAATTCATCTATTCAACTTAATGCCTTTATGTGGCAGGAGCTGTGCTAGGCACTAGTGGTATAAAGATATAAAAGGGATATTCTTACTTTCATGATATTTCATTACTACTTTCAGGGATATTTCATTACATCTAATTAGGAAAACTGACATTAATCCAATCTTCACAATAAATTTACAATTTATTAGATGATAGGATTAGTTGTTGACAGTTCAGCAAATATTAACAAACCTTTTCTAAATTGGAACATACAAAATGAGTGGAAAAACACTCAATTAATTAGGATTATTAGTTTTGATTTCATGATTTCTACACTTTATATTTAAAAGCAAGTTACAAGCAAAATGAACTGAAAAGAACCCTGAGGTCCTTTCCTGAAGGCACTATGGATTTAGCTCTAACTTCTAAACCAGGGGTCCACAAACCATGCCTGATTTTTTTTTTGGTATCATTAATCTACAACGACATGAGGAACATTATGTTTACTAGATTCCCATTACCAAGTCCCCCCCAACATACCCCATTACAGTCACTGTCCATCAGCGTAGTAAGATGCTATAGAATCATTACTTGTCTTCTCTGTGTTGTACAGCCCTCCCTGTGCCCCCTCCTCCTACATTATATCTGATAATAGTAATACCCTTTTTTTTCCCCCTTATCCCTCCCTTCCTACCCATCCTCCCCAGTCCCTTTCCCTTTGGTAACTGTTAGTCCATTCTTGGGTTCTGTGAGTCCGACACTGTTTTGTTCCTTCAGTTTTTTCTTTGTTCTTATACTCCACAGATGAGTGAAATCATTTGGTACTTGTCTTTCTCTGCCTGGCTTATTTCACTGAGCATAATACCCTGTAGCTCCATCCATGTTGTTGCAAATGGTAGGATTTGTTTTCTTCTTTTGGCTGAATAATATTCCATTGTGTATATGTACCACATCTTCTTTATCCATTCATCTATTGATGGACACTTTGGTTGCTTCCATTTCTTGGCTATTGTAAATAGTGCTGCGATAAACATAGGGGTGTCTTTTTCAAACTGGGCTGCTGCATTCTTAGGGTAAATTCCTAGAAGTGGAATTCCTGGGTCAAATGGTATTTCTACTTTTAGTTTTTTGAGGAACCTCCATACTGCTTTCCACAATGGTTGAACTAATTTACATTCCCACCAGCAGTGTAGGAGGGTTCTCCTTTTTCCACAACCTCACCAACATTTGTTGTTATTTGTCTTTTGGATGGTGGCGATCCTTACTGGTGTGAGGTGATATCTCATTGTGGTTTTAATTTGCCATGCTTGATTTTGTAAATACAGTTTTATTGCAACACAGTCATGCTCATTCATTTATGTATTGTCTATGCTGCTTTTGCTCAACAATGGTAGAGTTGAGAAGTTGCAACAGAGACCATATGGCCTGAAAATCTTAAAACATTTACTATGAAGCCCTTTAGAGAAAAAGCTTGCTGACCCACATTCTAAATAGTCTATGTCTAAAAAAATTACAGTATTGGCTAATAAAAAAAAACCTATATTCTAAATAATCTTCTCAAATTAGGGCAGAAATCTCACTGTCAAGGTCCTGGGACTTACTAAGGCAGGAAAACAAAATTATTTTCTTCAAAGACTGAACCATGCTGTAGTCCAGGTAGCCAGAAAAATAACCTGACTGTAATATCCCATTCTCCAAGCATTTTTACAATATTAGAAGTAGATTCAATTGCCCACTGTAGTTTCCCAAATAGTTTATCACAGGAAAAATACATTATACTTCCAAAAAACATTCAGCTTATCGAGAATCAATTACTACATTCACTGCAAGGCTAAATTTAAATTAGCTATCTCTGAATAGTAAGTTGGTTTCATCCTGAATAAATTAACCTTTTCTAAGTGCTGCTATTTTTTTTTTAAGTTTTGAAATCTGAATTATGAAAAATAGATTATTTAGAGGAGATTATTTATTTTAAATCAACTAGGAATGTCATTTTCTATTATTCTCCTAGACAATGTGAACTATGAAAATTCTTGGTAGATTTACATACCAGGAAAGTATAAACAAGGCTTTCCTATTTAATTTTTTGCTACAAGTACTGTGTCCACAACAAACGCTGTAAAATTAAACTGCACTTTTCACCCTAGGCTGTACATGAGAGTAATTCACTGACACAAAAATGTGACACACTGTTTACAAATCAAAGTAAAATGCAAGTCAGTCTCTGAACACTGAGATTTTGTTATACTCTTTTAAGCAAGTACCTGCTCTTCTCTTTTGCCCGCACTATCTGGTTGGATGCAAGTAAGGGATACACTTCTACCTATTGGTTTGGACAGTATGGCTTCTGAATAATACAAAATTCAGGAAATCAGGTATGTGATTTTTTTAGCCTAGTGGAGTTTTCACTTTCTGTCTCCAAATTTTATCATCTTGGTCCAGTTTTATCAAAACTACCATGTGTCACAAACTTACATGACAACTGGAACTGAGCAGGCAGAAAAGACACTGAAATCCATGGAGCTGCAATCGGGATCACAACAGCAGTTGACATCACACTGTGCTGGAGACAAGTCACAGACACACAGAGCAGCAACTGCAGAAACAGAAGAGGGGGGGATGCAGAGCATCACAATCAGCAGGTAATGACTGCCCCCTGCCACTGAAATGTACCAAAGATTCACTTCGTAAAAAAGGCCCATTTCATTTTTCCTATTGCCCTTTGGGGGAAATTTGTGAGGTGAGCATTAGTTTGAGCACTCTTCGATCTGAGGTTTCCCCCCAGCGGCTAATCATCTGACTCACCTGAAAAATTCTGTTTGTGCTCAGTAGAGACACAAAGACTCTGATTTGCTAAGCGGACTATAAACCCAGATGTCTGTGTTTTTCAAAAATTTCCCGGGTGATGCTGATAATTAAGACAGTTTTAAGAACCCAGCACACTAAATCATTTTTGCCTGATCATAGAACCAAGGGTTTAATATTGCAGACTTCCAAGCCCCTCCTCTGATGAAGGGCCCATTTACGGCTGCTAGGAACCAGGGTTCTCAAACTTGTTCCTCTCCTCAGACGCCACCTACAGCCTTGGGGCTGAGCCAACATTCACAGACTATTAGCCAAGAATCAAGTTGGCTCAGGTGCTTTTCAGGGATCCTAGAAATAAATATCTTCGGTAATTTAGACAATAAAGCATGGGGAGGGGTAGGAATCTCCCCATTTAGCAATTTTTAATTTGTAATAATGACAATCTTCTGGATTTTTAATTCCCTGTTTCATTCTGCCAAATGGGGAAAAAACCCTTTTAAAGAAATAGCAGAGCATGAGAATGATAAACACTGAATTTATGGTAGTAATTATTGCTGGGGGAGAGGGAATAAGATAAGTGCTTTGATCTTACCTATGTTTTGTTTCATTTTTAAAAAATGATCTCATGCAAAAAAAAAAAAAGGATATCAAGCAAATGCTGGCAGAGAGTCCATGCAACATTCTTATTCCCATGTATGAATTACTTCACAATAAAAATGAGCTTTAGAAAAATATAGCTTGAAAAAGATGCAATAACACTGGAAAAAGTTTGTGAATAAGGAGAAGAGGAAAGTTTCATCAATAAATACACAATCCTTTTATAGCCTGAGACACAAACTTTCCCCTTAAGTTTACTTCTCTCTAGCCAAGGACTCCTCTAAGCACTTAGTAAAATGACAGCATAACTCATGCACACTAATTTAAAAAATAAAGAGTTTAGGTTCCCTGGCTTATGTGTTTAAAATTACAATCCTGATTTGTTTTCCAAAACTTAAAACCCTTGTAGGTAGCCAAACTACAAGGACAAAGCAATAGTGTCTTTAATAATTCCACTTAGGGAAAAAAAGGTCTCTATCCATGATGTGAGTATACTTAATCAGCCAATAAGTTATCTGTTGAGCACTGCCAGGATCTAAGTGGCACTCAGCTGGTCTTCCACACCTCTTAACATCTATATGCCTGGCTGTAGAGCAGGGTACTAATGAAGAGAGCTCAGATTCAAGATGAAAGTTACCACTCTTCTCTTCCATCTGGTAACCCATTCTCCAAATAGCTGTCCAGTTCCCTACTCAGAGTCAGTCTCCTGCTCCAACTCTACCAGAGGTGTCACCTAAAATCAGCCAAGTAATTCACCTACCTGAAAAACGGGGATAACCTGCATCATAAGGAATTAAATGAGAGACATCATGAAAGAAATGCTTAGAACAGGGCCTGCTAAACAGTAAGCAATTAATAAGTGCCAACTGGCATTTATTATCCTTAAAGAAGGGTCCTTCAAAAAGATGAAGGTAAGTGCAATTTCATCCCCCGTACTGGATAAACAGCACTAAACACATGCCCAAATAATGATGGCTCAAGAATAGCTTAATTTGGGAGAGAAGGTACATTAACAGATGGAATGCTTACACGGATAAAAGACAACCCAAAAACCTTAGAGAATTTCGGATATTGAACACTGCCGTATTGTCTCCATTTACTACTTATTTAACTTCCGCACTAATTCATCAAGTTTCAGTATAAAACAGTTTCGTTTATATTCACTGAAATAGCAAACATTTCTCTGTGCTTTTTCTTACATACTTCTCGTAGTTTATAAAGAAGGCCCTTTGGACATATAATGGTTCAGAAACTGAAGTTAAGTCCTAGAGTTCAGGTTGTTAGCAAAAGATGACTTTCCTATTTACTAATACTGAGCCTTACTCAATGTAAGACCTATTTCTCTTATGAAAGGATAGAAAAACACTGCATACTTATTGGGGTTACAGTCTGAAAAGCTTTAAAAGTTTCTTTTTTGAGATCACAAATCCCTTTGAGAAACTGCTCACTGTTATGAGTGCTCACCCCAAGAAAAATACACATTCACAAAATTTTGCACTCAATCTCAAGGTCATAGACATCGCCTGAAGTCATCCATGTCAAATCAGACTATAAAGTACTCACTAAATGTGTAGCTCCTGTTACTGAGTGTGTAAATACTCACTAAATATTGCACATTTGAGAACTGCTCTCCTCTAGAACTGAACAGGAGCAGAAAGATCACATCACTGTCCTTGATGATTAGATCACTTTGTGAGAAATATGTTAAATATTCCTAAAGATGAGTCCTAGGAAGTGGGCATAACCCCTCACCCAGAACTCTCCATCCCAAATCAACACAGGAGGAATCCTGAGTTTTCATAATTCAAGTCAACAGACAAGGGCCTTGACCTAGTCACATTTAAGTAAACCAGACTTTTGGCATCTCTTTTAGATAAGTGAAAAGTTCAATGCATCCTATGCATTTAATTTCCACAACTGTCTAGAAACTTCCAATTTAATTTCGTCTTCGACTGCAAATCTGCAAGGATTCATTCATTATTACTTTTAGCATTAATGTTGTTCAGGACTATTGCAAGCCTTTCAAAAATTTTACATTGTCCCACTTACACTCTCTTTGGGTTTTTGAGAGAATTAATGCCTATGAAACATGTAACAATAAACACACAGTAAATGTTCAATAAACGTTAATCATCGTTAGTATTATAATCATCATCGGGTTACCCCTTTCAGGTTGGATCACTATGAACCGCAGGAATTGGCACTTGGTACCCACCATCCGTGATCGGGGTGGGCGTGGGGCCAGAGGAGGGCCAGGGAGCCCTGGTGGTCCCGGGGGGCCTAGGAGACAAGGCGGATCCGGGAGTCGCTGGGCCTGCCTCCGTAGAGCTGAGGCCTTCCGTCGTCACCACCTGGGTGGCCACGGCCTGGACGTTCACGGAAGCCCAGCAGTCCAGGAGCACAAGCAGGAGGGGCGACAGGCCCCGAGGACCCATCGCCCGGCTGAACCCGACGCGGCCTGCTCTGCGGGCCCTGCGTTGCCGGGCAACCGCGGCGACTGCACGCCGGACATCACGGGAAGAATCCCGCGAGGCTGCACGAAACCGCGCGGTGGGCGGGGAACGGGCGGGGATGGTCCCGAGGGGCGGGGACTGGGCCGGGACGGGGGACGGTGTGAGGCCTGCGGAGGCAGAGGAAATTGTGAATGCTGGAGGTGGTTCCCGAGCAGAAGGCGGTGCTTGTTTTAGTAAATGCGGCTTGCCAGATTCCATCTCAAGGTACTCGGACTTACTGTCAAGAGCAGGGTCCAGGAATTAGTGTATTTAACAAATGTCCTGACGCAACCGGGGGGCGGGGTGGGGACAGAAATTTGGGAACCCGTCTCCTAGAGCTACTGAACAGGGTCTTCTAAGGAGCAGAGATCACATCACGGTCCTTGAATTTTCTCTATCCCACACCCTAACGACGCTTGCTTTACCTTTGCTATTTCAGATGTGTCGGAGGCAGTCGCCAGATAACTTTTGTTCACCGTGGTGTGATGAGAGGCGCAGATGAACATTTAACTTTTTTACAGACAAAAGAATTAAGTAAAATGATTTCTAAGTCTTAGAGGAAAAAACAGCGAATCTCTGTTACTATACAAAATGACACGGAGACCACAAGACTTAGAGAAGCCCCTCCATTCTAAACTAGCGTATGTTTATAGAGGTACTCCCTCCCAGGGCTGTTGGCTATACCTGTGGCATTTAGTTTTCTCCCTACAATTCAAAAGTAAATGTCAAAATACCTAAACATATCATGGTATTTATTAAACAAACACATTTACCAATTCACAAGAATGCCCAAACAGTATATATACCTAGTTTATCAAGTGTGTATAGCAAATCTAAATCACCAAAGTGACATCTTAAGCCCCTTCCTGTGGCATTCCGGAGAAAGTGTATAAAAATATAATTAAATCACTATAACATCTTTCTATGTTGATAGAGAGTAACTGCACTAGAGGGGGTGAGGATTTAATAGTATGGGTAACTGTTGAACCACAGTGTTGTTCATCTGAAACCAATATAAGACTGTATATTAATGATACTTGAATTAAAAATATATATATATAATTGAATCAAATGTGTAACACAGATATTTCCCTTTTTTCCCACAAAGGATTGCTTTAAAAAAATAACTGAAATTCTGGACCACTTTTGATAGCTGATGTAATGTTTTCCTTAAAAAATTTTTTTTCTAAACTTTCATCTCAAAATTTCTAAATCCAGGACTGATTGTTGTTTTTTTTTAAACCTTCTCTTTACTTCCAGCCTCTACTTTCTTTTCTGCTCCTTAACATCTGTGAATTGCTTTGTCCTATTTTCTGTTTTGAAATTTTAGTCTGTTGGATTAAATATTGATAAAGTGCCCTTCGTTTCTAACATTTTTGTCTTTGTGGTTTGGGAAATAATCTCACAATTCTTTTGTCCAATCTCAAACACTCAGTAGATAGTCTGAAAGTAATTTATGACATCTTACAAAATCAAAATGAGGGTTCATCACCGCAGACCTATTTTGTAAACCTTGGGAACATTAAAACGTTTCATTTCACAGGTGGCTTTTTTCATCTTTCAACCCAGAGGATTCTTTTTCCTTTCCTTCTCCCCTGACCTTGGCAGTCTCCTTCATTAGGATGGAAGGACACAAGGAAGGGCAAAGATCTATTTCCTTATTTTGTCCCAAACTGCAGCTTTTGGGTTATGCATAAATGTTTGTGATTTAAAATGTCCATCTGTTTCTCTAGGATTATTGGCATTCTCAATTCCTTATAGTCTGCAACAATGGGAACAATCAAGACGATTCAGCTTTTTGGAATTCTGCACTTGGAAGCTGCTGCATATGTGGAGCCTGAAAAGCAAAGACAGGAGAGGCTAGGCAGAAAAAGAGCTAAGGCCGACTTTGCAAGGCAGTGTTAAGTGTTCTGTCTCAGTCTTTGGTGTGGTTTGGGATGGTTTGATTATTGTTGTTGTTGTTATTATTGCTGAAGTAGTGACTCCTAACCTATCTAACATTAGATATCCAGTTTTTCCTATAGTTAAGTATAGGCACCCATCTTCCACTTCTATTCTTCCATCTTATTCTTCTGTGCCAAATATTTTACAAATAGGGAGGAAGAATCATCAAGCTACAGGAGCTACAGGGAGATCACAGCTGTGTGAGGACAGAGGACTGACTCTACCGTTTTGACGGAAGTGAGCAGTTCTGTGACTGATTTCTAAACCACCATCCAGAGGAAAGTAATTCTCAACTTTCCTCCTCCCTTTCCCTATGAGCCTAGTCAACCACCAGGTACTAATCTTGTTCTTCAAATGTTTTCTGAAACACATGGGGGCAGAAGGGTTATTGAAGCAAACTTCTCATTCTTTAAAGGTCTCAAATTTACAAATAGGACTTTTTCTGAAAAATCAATTAATAAATGTGGTCACAGATACACACTGACAGGAATGAAATAAGAATCCCGTTTCCCAGACCACTTTAAACCTGCATCCTATTATCGGGCCATACTTGAGTTCAAATAAACTAGTTGACTTTTTACAAACTATTTTGTTTTTATTTTCAGATTGAAACATGTCAATCATAATGAAAGGTACGAAACAGAACACCACTGTGCACTGCCCCAAGATCATTCAGATTTAACATTTTGCTCTATTTACTCCACATTTCTTTTTAGTCAGTTTTATTGAGGCTAATTTACATACAGTATTATTTTTTGTGTGTACAGTTTTTGATGTAAAGGTTTTTCTCATGCATCAACATACAGTGTTTCTTTTTTTTGTGTGTGTACAATTTTATGAGTTTCAGCAAACACATACAGTCATATAACCACAATCACAATCAAGATGTAGAACAATTTTACCACTCCCATGTTCCCTCATGCCTCTTTATAGTCAGCAGTTTCCACCATCCAATCCCTTGATGACACTGATCTATTTTCTGTTCGTATGTTTTTCCCTTTTCCAGAATATCACATCAATGGCGTCATCCAGTGTTCAGCCCTTTGAGCCTGGCTTCTCTCACTTAGCCTAATGCCTTTGAGATTCATCCATGTTTTATGCATCAACAGTCTGTTCCTTCATTATTATTATTATGGTAAGAACCACATAGCATTGAAGTTACCATCTTAATCATTTTAAGTGTATAGTTCAGTAGTGTTATGTGTTTTCACATTGTTGTGCAATTGGTCTCTAGAACTTTTTAATATTATAACACTGAAACTCTATACCTGCTAAAACTAATTCCCCCCTGCTGCCCTCCCTGAAGCCCTTGGTAGCCAGGTTTCTATTTTCTGTTTCTATGATTCTGACTACTTTAAATAATTCATTTGAGTGAAATCGTATAATATTCCTCCTTTTGTGACTGGCTTGTTTCACTTAGCATTATGTCCTCAGGTTCATCCAGGTTGTAGCATGTGACAGGATTTCCTTCTTTTTTAAAGGCTGTATAATATTATGAGTGTGTATCACATTTTCTTTATCCATTAATCTGTCAGTGGACATTTGAGTTGCTTCCACCTCTTGGCTACTGTGAATAATGCTGCTGTGAACATGGGTATAGAAATATCTCTTCAAGATCCTGCTTTGATTGTTTTGGATATATATCAGAAGTAGATCATATATAATTCTATTTTTAATTTTTTTAAGAATCTCCTTACCATTTCCCGTAATTACCGCACCATTTTACATTTCTACCAACAGTGTACCAAAAGTTCCAACTTTTCCACATCCTCACCAACATTTGTTATTTTCTGTTCTTCTGATAGTAGTATCCTGAAGGGTGTGATGTAATATTTCATTACGGTTTTGATTTGCATTTCCCTAATGATTAGTGACATCACAGATCTTTTCTTATGCTTATTGGCCATTTGTGTATCTTCTTTGGAGAAATATCTAAGTCCTTTGTCCATTTTTTAATTTTTGTTATTGAGATGTAGAATTTCCTTATATATACTAGACATTAACCCCTTATCAGATATATGATTTCCAGTTATTTTCTCCCCTTGTATAGGTTGCCTTTTCACTCTGTTGATTATTTCTTTTGACACACTAAAGGTTTTAAGTTTGATGTTGTCCCATTTGTCTATTTTTCCTTTTGCGCCTGTGCTAATGGTGTTATATCCAAGAAACCACTGCCAAAATCAATATTCTGAAGCTTTCCTCCTATGTTTTCTTCTAGGAATTTAATAGTTTTAGGTCTTTATCCCATTTTGAGTTAATTTTTGTGTGTAGCATAAGGTAACTTTTTTTCTTTTGCATGTGAATATCCAGTTTTCCCAGCATCTTTTGTTGAAGAGACTGTCCTTCCCCCATTGTGTAGTCTTAGCATCCTTGTTAAAAATCATTTGGCCATATATGCAAGTTTGTTTCAGTCCACTCCTTTTTATTGCTGACAAGTATTCCATAATAGATATACCACAATTTCTTCATTCATTTGCCAGTTGAAGGAATTTGAGTTTTTCCAGTTTTTGGTAATTACAAATAAAACCACTATAAATACTCACATACAGATTTTGTGTGAATGTACATTTTAATTTTTCCTGGGTGCATACCTAGGAATGAAATTTCTGGGTTGTATGGTGGGTGTGTATGTTTAACTTTGTAAGAAACTGCCCAACTTTTTCCAAAGTGATTGTATATTTTGCATTCCCACCAATGATGTATGAGATTTCCAGTTGCTCCACATGTTCATGAAACTTTGGTATGGTCAGTTTTGTTTTCATTTTCATTTTTAGCTATTTTAATAAGTGTGCGGTAGTATGTCATTGTGGTTTTATTAGTTGGTTTTTACTAAACCTAATCATCTTGTAATGACACATTTTAGATTGCAAAATAGTCTTGGGGTGCCATAAGTATTTGTTAAATTTTAAGTGAATTAATTAATTCATTTTTCTGCGGGCAAAGAGCTTCAGAAAATGAAGTGAGCTTGGCCTCTTGGTACCCCTGAGGGGCACTGCTCTCATTTCCGCCACTTCTGTTTCTGTTTCTATGTCGTAAACATGTTTTCATCCTTGTCCTCAGGACCTGCAGTTAGTTCCGCTTTCTTTTACCCTTCACTGGC